GGTGGAGCTGTAAATTATTATGGCGTGGTGTTACTAATTCTTTATCATTCCTGGGGCTCAGAGTAGTTGCTACATCCGCTATATTGCTATATAGCAAAAGCACTTCCGGGACTATCCACCTCCGTGTTATAATGTTATGACCGAGAGTGATTTTTCTCATTTGTTTCTCTTTCAGGTAATGTCTATGTAATTTCTAAGATACTAAAAATTCTGCAATCAGAGAAGATAGCGATCAGGGTATGTAATGGAATTACGTTAGTAACTAAACTCAAAGGTATATGTTCCTATTCAATCCTAACTTAGAACCACATAAAAGTACATTGATACAGTTGTATTTCAACTAGCGATTCAGGGTCAATACTAATTCTCTGCGGATCAGTGTTGAAGTCAGTGGATAAGATACTTTTTCACACCGCGGATTCGGTGTTTTATATGTTAGAAAGCTGCCTTGACCTTTGACCTTTGAGTCTGAAAACCAATCCCAGTCAAAATTTTACAACTTGGAAGCAATACACGCGATTCGATAGTTATTGATCAACTATCGTATTTATCGTATAGAAAGCAATTCTTATTTTGACGACCTTGACCTTTCACCTCGAATCTACAATGCAAACTTTTACATGTTTATCGTATAAAAGTTAAGCAGAAATGGGTCCGAGTTGGTCGCAAAAGGGAGATACTGACAAAAACTTCACTTTATTTTCATCGACTGTTTGATGGTTACAAGAAGAGACAGGAACAAAGGCATATAAACGGTAAAGTAAATTTGAAATGTTCCCCTCCTCCAATTCTTTTAGAGAAATTATGTAATATATGTATACGTAATTTTATATTTATATATACGTCCATAAGTTATATAAAGTTTTGCATGTCGCAATGTTTGTACTTCATTAAAGATGAACTACGGCGTGATATACTAGACTTTTTGTTACTTTTTCAGCAGACAGGGCGGTCGCAGGTGATAAAACGTTAGTTTCCAGTCTAAGTGACTGAAACATTATATTCATTACTAGACGAAGAGTCCTATTATATGTTGTTTACATGTATTTTTTAGATTTTATGGTATACCCTCGAGCATAAAATACGTCTGGATCGTCTCCATGGGCCATTATTGACCATTCAAAGACGCTCTATATACGTGATCTTTGTGAAATAGAGTACCTCTAGGCTACTATGTTACCGGAGACGTAGATACTCAAGAAAAACATTCCATATCTTTCAGATAATTGGTAATTTATCATCAAATTCGTGTTACACGAGTCCTTGTCGCGTGCTACATGGTACATGTTATTAGATTAGAGCTAATACGTTCACATCAACTTCGCATCACACTTGGACCTCGCTTCACACTTTGACCTCGCAATACACTTTGACCTCGCCTCAAACTTTGACCTCGGATCATACTTTGACCCCTATATTCGGTTTTTATGAATCACGTTATGAAGCTCCTTTCGTCATGACGTACACAACATACTTCTGATATAAAAGTACAATTTCCTTCGAAAATAACTTTTAGTTTAAAATACAGCTTCATTGTTTCTAATTCAATATGTTGAAAAAAATGATAATAAACGATTACGTGAAATTTTCCAGAAGAAAATTTTTACATACGAATGTTTAATACTGAGAAAACAACTTCTAGTTTAGTTTTCTAGTTTAAATTATTTTAACAATATTACCGTCGAAAAAATACTGAAATTTAAAAATTAAAACTTAAAATCGACGTCAGAAGTAGAAGAAATCAAAACTCCATCACAGTGTTTACAGTTGAAAAATTAAGATAAAAAAACACGGACCACATGAATTTCTGTTGTTTTGTATGACAGCTATTTCTACAGCAAATAAAAATAAAATAAATTCAATTCAAAATAAGTAAAACATATTTAAAACATGTCAGATATATGAAATCCTAATGTTAGTATCATTTTTAAACAATCATATCCACAACGATAGCTTCCTACTGACGACAATAACCCGCGTAATTTAGTTTTTAAAGTTAAGTCATTTGAGCTCTACATCAATCTGACAACAAGATGTTTTCACGAATCTTTGTACATTAGGTAGTGTGTTATTTACGTTTGCTGTCCCTTAAGTTGAGTAATAAACCGTATAAAAGTATGGCATCACGACTTACTAGTGGTATAATACTTTATTGTTAAACATCTATGGCAATCTCTGATAATTTCATAACTTTAGTCGGTATATGTCAGGACCCGTGTGGATTCTACGTCATCATATGATTACTTTGAAAAGATCGACATGAATACAGTCCATATTAATGGTAGAATTAGCAACATAACAAACAGGAATGTGCTTAATGGAAGGGTAAGATTATTTAAATCTGTAGTGATTGGTGAGCGAATAAAATTTCAAAATAGGTAGTGACTCCAAATATCACCATTCAGTGTAATTAGGACACCTCTAATCACAGGAAAGTGAAATAAACAGCCATTTACTGTCAATATAGGATTTTACATGGTTAAGTCTGGTAATAGAGATCTCTCCTTATCCTGATTAACTTTTCTCTTTCCTTAATAGTCTATTTTAGAACTGAATTTCTGAATCGGTGCAGATTATTTTAAGCACAATCTCCATGCCCTTTCTATGACTATGCTAACATTTTTTTGTCCTTCAAACACCTTTATTAGATTTTATCAATTACTATCCCTCGGACAATAAATAGGAGTAAACTATGGACGTGAAGGGTTGAAGATGCATATTTCCAGACCCTTGTGCAGTAAGCCTAAAGTTCTATGTATATTTGTATCAGTGGTATGTGTGATTATTGAGAAGGAAAATCAGTCTAGCTTTCAAATGTAATAGCCAGGGCACCAGCTCCTGTATTTCATATTAGTGGCAAAATCTGAATGAGACATTGCCTCTATGCTCTCTGCTCAAGATCGTAGAAGAATGGAAATTTTAATTTCATTTATCAATCACCATGCTGATTAAGAAAAATGTTAATTAAATTGTGTGTTGTATATAATTCCTAACGCCTCATCTCTCTGAAGCTTATTCCTTGAGGATTTTTAATGAATTACCCTGACTTCTTCTCCTGCCTTCATTTTTATAGTACAATTAACTTCATTTTTTCGAATATTTTTTGTGTAACATTGGTCAGTGATACTCCAACAAAAACACTACCTCCTCTTAGAAAATATCCCAGATCGTTACATAATTGAATTGTTTCAACATATGGTACTATATGTGATATTGAAATGTACTTCATTACATATGCATGTATTCACATGACACCTACACCTGGTTCAAAATTCTATTCATACTTTCCCTTTAAAATGGGATTTTTGACAAGTAAACCAAAAACCCTCAGGACATACTTTTATGTCACCATTTCAGCAGTTACTGGACTTGTTTTTTTGGTCGCTATAGTGATGAAAAGATTATTCAGGATTCAAATTTAGAATTAGATGGTCTAGTTTAGTTTATTGTTTCTTTACATCCTACTAACAGCCAGAGACATTCAAGGATGTGCCTGGTTTGGTTAATGGAGGAAAACCAGAGTTCCTGAGAAGCAAAACTGACCTGTGGCCATTACCTAGCGACTGTCCCAATTAGGCCTTGAACCTTCGACCCAGAAGCCTTAACCACTTAGCAATCCAACCCCATGCCCCTAGAGTTAGATACAGTAGAACCAAATGCTGAAATAAACTGCATCATATAACTGAAAGTGTACTGTAATCATTGTTGCAATTATTGGCCTTGTTATTATTTTTACACTTATTGAATATCCTGATATCAATCCCTCATAATTAACATTTGCATCCTCTTTGCGAGGGAAAGTCTTTGCGGGCCTAAGGGAAGGATGCATGTAAATCTGTCTTGACATCAATATCAACTGTAACTTTGTTACATTGAGGTAATATCCTTAATATTGGAATATGTTTTACTTGTCCAAAAGGGTTTGAACTAACTTTCTGTGATTCTATTTTCCCCTGGCTATTAAAGACAATATGATGTACACAGTTCTTGACTTACAATTACAAGAAGATACCAACAATTTAACAACTCAAAATTTATTAATTGAATGCAAAACATGAACAAAAGGAAGATTTCCACTGAGATCTTGAATAATAAGACCTGGTGTTCCAGAAGAGTAACCGTCTTCTAGTTCATCCATCTATCCAAGTAAATAATATCCTGTTATCATATGAGAATATACAATATCTACAGAGACAAAAACACAAGGTAGACTAACTGGTATCAAATACTGTAACTTTGTATCGCAAAAGGGAATGGTATATTTTACAACAGGAAAAGATGGGAGAAAAATTTGGTCAAAATCCTTTCATTCCTACAAGAGAAGCAAGATTGTAAAGAATTTACTCAGTTTCCCCTATTAGGCCCAGTCCTTCCAGCCTCAGGGCACCGAGACTTTATGTCTATACAAGAATGATTCCTCTTAACCCAAGAATGCTTCAGACCAATTTGGGAAATATCCATTCATTTCTGCAGAAGCAGTAGGATTTTAAGGAACTTGCTAAATTTCTCCTATTTGGCCCCGTTCATCATGCCCCTGGGACCAAGAACCAATATTTATACAAATTCGGTCCCGCTTCACCCATGGATGCTTCTGAACAAATTTGGCCCAACTCTGTTCACTGTTCAGTCGTTCATGACTGGTAGCAATTCTCAGTCTAATGCCAGCCTATGGCATAAGTTCACCGGTCTTTCAAACCTGCTAAGCTAAAAAAATGATTACTATTTGATGTGAACTGAAAACATACAGAGTTACATCTATCAAAAGTTCAGCAGGCCGAGATACACGTTTAAAAATATCAACCTCCTGCTGAGATTAATCTTCCCAAACCACACAAAGTGAAAAATTATATTAGTAAACATGGAATAAAATATACTGCCAATGGCCAATGGCAACCCTATGAGTGGAAATTTCAGACAGTTATCTACATAATACCTACGCTTACAGTAAGGACACATATAAGTTATTTAAAATGTATTAAACACAGAATTTCAAACACATGTTATGATACGCTGCCATTTTATTTATAAATTAGCACACATTTGTGATGTCTACAATGTTCTTCTGTTACATGATGTATAATGGATTACCTTATTATGTAATTAAAAACATTTGTTCAATCCATGTCCTTAATTCATTCCTCTTCAAAAAGCTTCTAGGGAATAATCCTTGCTTTTTTAAGATCAATGTCTGTTTTCTTCCTAGCTTCTCTGTGTCTTAAGTCATTCCTCTTCAAAAAGCTTCTGGGGTATAATCCTTGCTTTTTTAAGATCAATGTCTGTTTTCTTCCTAGCTTCTCTGTGTCTTAAGTCATTCCTCTTCAAAAAGCTTCTAGGGTATAATCCTTGCTTTTTATGAAGATCAATGTCTGTTTTCTTCCTAGCTTCTCTGTGTCTTAAGTCATTCCTCTTCAAAAAGCTTCTAGGGTATAATCCTTGCTTTTTTAAGATCAATGTCTGTTTTCTTCCTAGCTTCTCTGTGTCTTAAGTCATTCCTCTTTCAAAAGTTTCTGGAAAATCATCCTTGCACTTTTAAAATCAGCTCCGGCCTTTTTTTTAGCTTCTGCAGCCAGCTGATTTAAGAGTTTTTCCGGATTTTGTTTCAATTTATTCTTTTTCTGAAATGATAACATATCATTATGTAATTTTTCTGTGTCTGATGTCTACGTTGAGCATTAATTCATTATTATCTACAACTGCCCATGTATGCACAGTTTATTACAATTGTATCTGATCTTTGATCATTTTATCAATATCAGTGTTATTGACTGCAATTGTATATACCTCAAAACTTTTAAGTTGTCTTTAATATTCTGATATCAAAACCGAACCACAATGTAAAACACTGCATGAAAAGCATTAGATTAAAGTTAATGGTTTTACTACTGCTTGTGTGCAAATGAAACAAAATACAGTTATGTATAAGTTGAATGGACTTTTAGCTTTATAATTATCTGAAAATATAAAGCAACACCACCATTATTATACACTTTACAACCTGGTTTCCTCCAAACATGTGCTTCAATGACAAGAAAAATTTTTCTAATAAGCCCATCTTGTTTTTATGTAGAATGTAGCTTAAATAATTTTATAAGTATCAGGTATCATAAATATCAATATTGATATCCCAATAAACATAAAAATATGTTGTTGCCATATGAATTATATTCTTCCATTAATGTCAATGTAACTAAATCAGACTTGTTCATATCTATACCAACTTAGTGATATGTAAAGTAAAACAACAATTATGGCATTTGTATTTTTCCAGTGTGTAACAGTTATATTATTTTACAAACTTTGCCTGAAAGTGACAAAGATACAAAGAGCAATATTAGATATTAGTACCGGATTAGATCCCTTTTCAAACTCGTCCAAGATTCGCTGACAAATATTTTCTAATGGCTCAGGGCTTTTGCTTGCGTCCACTTTCTTTTTCCTCATCTGATGAATTCTGGTTTCTGAAGAAGGATCTTTCAACAGCAGATCTACAATCTGAATATGTCATCCATCGATTACCTGACATGTTCTTGAAATATGTCAAGACTAACAAAAAGGGGTTCATTAAAATTGGCGCACCTTCAGCAGTGAAAGTCAATGAAAAGTCTTGGTCTAAAAATTCAAACCATTGTTCATTATCAATAATTCAGGAAAATGTCCTGGACCATTCTATATAAAAATCATGAGGACCACACATGCAGAAACTAGAAAGACAAAGATTATCTATGCTAAGTAGCGTTACCCCTGCCTATTCATGATTTCCGTAACCCTAAATGACGGAAACCTGATCAACGAATAATTTCAGACTTATCCACATGGTTTAACATTGTTGCATACAAAACATTCACATATTAAGTGGAGTCCATGTGGACTGTTAAAATCACTTCTCACACAGAAATTAAAGTTGTACTTTGAATCACTTCCTCACATGAAGGAACATGTCACATCTTGAGTGAATCAAATGACAGAACAAGAACCACTTAACTTTCTCTGACACATAAATGCTGTCAGATTTTTCTAATTTATGAGTAAATGTTAATGACACTCTTCTGTATTTCACAATTAAAACATTGCATGATCACATCCTTCAAGAAGATCTATAAAAATCAGGAAAAGTGGGCACACAAATAGAAAATGAGATTTATGCCTAAAATGGCACAACATTTCCATTAGGAAGGGAAGAGGTTTTAGGTATGAAATGTCCATAGCTTGAATAACTACATTTTTGAGACCAAAAAAAATCAATCTAATGAGTCAAGGTAGTTTCAATCACAACATACCCAAGCATCACCAGTAAGTGGGTCATTTAATGGCCGACTAGTTTCGCCTCTATAAGGGAATTTTGGAAAATATCAATTGGTCATAATAACATAAAATGTTCTTTACCTTTATAAATTCTCTAAGTGATATTACACTTTGTTTACACAAGTCACACGCTTCACCAAATGCCTCAGGACTACATCTTCTGCAATATTATCAATGGAAACATATACATCAATTACCATTACCAGTCAATTCCACTTAAACTGCTAAAGACAAATAAAAAGTGGATATTAGCTAAAGATTACAGTTCACCTGTCTATCTGCTCTAATGACATTAAGGTATAAATCACCAGTGACTTTTTCAGTCATTTTATTTAAGCATTTAGCTTCATTACTTTCAGTTGTGTATCGGTCATCCTTGGTCTAAAGTTAAGACTTCTAGATAAAATGTGAATCTGATTAGAATGAAAGGTTATGTCTTTTTATATGTCCTTCAAACAATGGAGAACATGAATTGTTAAAAGGACGCTGGATATGTACAGAACAGACAGCATATAAATTTTGATGAAAAGCACCAGTCCAGCAAATGAAAGAATTATCCTAGAAAGATTGAATTTTTCTATGATCTAGTCCTTTCTGCAACTGTTCTTAAAGAGTGGCGCATTTCTTTCTTTTCATTTCTTTCCAAAATGTAGCCCTGTCTTTCTGCTCTCAGAGGGGACACATGCTAGTTTAATTAACTACCAGAAAAATATTTGATGAAGCTATAGATGACACCAGATCAGGCAAAAAGCTCTTCAACAAAACATTAATTAATTTAACACTATACATGTATTGGGGCCCCCTGACTCCATACTCACAAGATTCATATATATTTTATAATCAAAAAAATGATTTCCCTTTACAAGATCGTGGAAATTTACAACACTTACATATCACTGAACTCCAGTTTCTGTCTCTTCATTATTGCTAACAATTCTCCCATCATGCGGACTGCTACATTCAATGGGTCGGTAGGTCTAGCCTTAACAACTTTTTCATAAAATTCTGCCATACCTGGTTTCACCTGAGTATAGAACAAATATTGCACTTGACTGTCTTTTCCTTACACAGTACAAGCTTTGAATGCATGCATTAAAAGCTGTTAACACAGTCAAATGAATAAAGAATAAGAATAGGCAAGGATTTTTTTTCTCCCTTAGTGTTGGAAATAAATATTTGTGAGGGAAGGGGAGTAACTCTTACTATATAAGAGCTTAAAGTGCATAAACTCTCCTACCCTAAATCTTCTGAACTGGGCTAGACTGTTAAAGCATTATGATACTAGTAACACTTTATTTTTAGACATGAAAAAGGATAATCTTGCTTGAGGCCCTCTGCCATAATATACATATCATTTATACAACTGTGTAACATAATATGACAGGAATCTATCAAAAGAAAAAAAATCTACTTAATTTGAAAGGTATCACAGCATTTGATTGGCTGATGAAAATATTTTGAATAATTTGTGAAAGTATATTCAAAATATACTGTCCAGATGACAACTGATAATGATGTTTATGACACCAATTGACTCACACACCAACACTTCACTGTCAAAAAAATGTAGTATGGCCCTAAGAAGTCACTGATATTGAACATTACTGGCAAAGATCAATCTTGGGTTATTTACTACCGGAAATGGATACTTTTTTCTAGCTGCTAAAATTTCTCTCTTACAGAATGTTTCCCTTGAATTTTAACAATATATCCTTCTATTTTACATAAATTATCGTTTGTCTCTTGCTGAATTTCCCCGATTTCAACAGAAATGCTTTTAAATCTTTCAGTTTTATTGTTTTTGAGTTAAATTTGATGGATTTTGTATATTTTCGGCCTTAGAAAGTATTTTACATAATTCCAAAGTTGTTTGAATAGTCAATCTCGAAGTGCTGTTTTCAGCCCATGAGGCTCCTTCCTGTAGAACTTTGGAACACAGGCTATTTTCCTCTAGTCACAAAAAGTGTGTATATCTTAGACTGATCCCTGACTGGCGTTATCAATCCTTGGCAAAGTAATCAAGATTTCTGGAATTATGTGAAAAAATGGTGCTTAGTTATTCTGTTTTTACTTTCTTATGAGTGTATGAATTGGAATAGGGATAACTCTACTGTGTTTAGAAATTTGTAGATGTGTATTGTGATAATAACATTGCAAATATCCATTTGTTTTCTCCACTATGCATTGCCAGCACAACTTGATTTGTAAGTTTAATCATATATATACCACAGCAAATTTCAAAACACAGTCCATTTATCATCTAAATATAGAAGTACTGATGCATTAAGCACCACTAACGTCCATCTTACCACAATTCGATGTGCATATATCTCTGGTAAACCATATTCCTTCACTAGATCTTGTTTTTGTTTAGCAGGAAGGGTAGGTAACTGTTGTCGAAGAACATCTACATTGACTATCTGTGAGGTATGAAGCCCTTCAGGAATGGTGGTGTTATCGTAAACACATAGTGGAGGCAAGTTTGGCTCTGGCATAAAACGGTAATCCTGTTCTATTTCCTTATCTCTCATAGGAACTGTAAATCTAGACATCACACAAAACATGACAGATTTTAGAGTGTGAATGAAAACAGAAAAATTCTTATTGTTTACAAGGTTTGAAAATGTTTCCATGTAGAATATAAAATATGATAGGTCACTTTAATTTAGAATTTCAGTTTAAATCTTTGTTTCATGGTCTTAAAATTAAGCAAACCTATTACAGAAGTCAATTAAGGAGGCCCTACGCTTACTTACCCCGACATTACATCAAAAGATCTTGTATCATTGATAATCTTCTTGTCCTGTTGTAACAGCTGTGTTTGCCTCTTTATTTCATAGTCTGTAGATTTCAAACAACATTATTAGAACAATACATACCACTAGTGACCAAGAATAACTTACATATGAGATCTGAGAAAGATATATTTCCTACTTTTCAAGAACATTCAAAAGATGCGACTGAGGTAAGTTAACATACGAAATTTGAGAATTATCCATCCACTTCTTCTCAAAAGACATGAATAACATACGTGTAACCAAATGTTTACTTTTAAAATCTAATATGACTGCACATTTTTCCTTTGTTTTTAAGGATCTGTCCCTAAATTGAACATGTACACAGAAGCAAGGAGAGTCTATATCTGAAATTTAAGACACACCCATACAGTACTTTTCAAGACATCTTAAGAAATAGAAATTACAAACTTCAACTTTCAAATCTCAAAATAGCCGCATAATTAAACATACACAGCTAGTGATCAAGAGGAAGAAAAGATCGTCTTACCAATTGCTACCTTCACACTACGGATGCTGTTGAGGTTTTTCACTTCTACTCTTGTACCTAGGGGTTCCCCTGGTCGGTGAACTGAGATGTTAGCATCTACTCTAAATGCCCCTTCTACAAAAAGAGAAAAACAAATCACCTGCATAACTTAGATATTCCAATACATCTGTATGTTGTATTTTGCTGTAATTATGTACATGTACAAAGTAACAAACTTCTTTTAAATTAGCACTGTGATTTTGTCACATTTAAACAAATTTTGATGATCAGAAATATGAGAGATAAAATGAATTTATAAGCCAGTCTAAAGGCAGTTCTACAGCCATGCTGTATTATGTGAAATACATTCAATATCTCCAGTGATCACTTATTAGATTTGTAAAAATCATAATACTATCAATTATATGTATGTCCACCTTGTAAATTCATAAGTTCATATCATGTTAAAAATTTCAAACAATTCAATTAAATTACCTTCCATTTTACAGCTACAAGTTGATACAGCATTGAGAATTCCAATCAGTTCCTGAAGAAATGACACAGCTTCTAATCCTGAATTCATGTCAGGGGCAGTTATTATTTCCATCAGGCCAATACCTACAATACATTAGTGTGAATACAAAGGTGATTAATTATCTACATCAGTTTATAATAAATGAAGAGAAAATGTGTCATTGCCTCCATCATCATCAGTAACTGCAGAAAAAACCTACCTGCACGGTTTAGGTCTATCTGACTCTGTTTATCAAATTCATCGTGAATACTTTTCCCACTATCCTGCTCTAGCTGTATCTGTTCCAGACCCACAGTGATATAATCAAAAGGACGTTTTGGAGAAACATTTTCTGCTAACACAGGACATGTAAGTGATCCCCTCTGGGCTAGGGGCTGTCTAAGCTGAGTTATCTGGTAGCCAGCCTGGGGAAAAAAATACACTACATATAAGTGTCTAACATTATCAAATCTGTCCATTTATAAAGTTGGCATTTATTTTCTGTTACATTTGCCAATAACAAGGCGGCCTTCTCACAGAAGTAAAAATCAAATTAATTGTATTTTTACTACTTAATACCCTAGACTAGACTTATTATCACACTTTCGTAGCTAACCTTAAATAATGACTACGTTAGTATGATAACCCTAAATGATTTTCGAGAAATCTCAATTGGAACTTGGAAATGTGACATGTATGGAATTGATAATGCAAGGTAGGTGCTTGTATGGACAGAAATTATTTATACAACAACAAAGGAATTTGCCACTAAAATTTTCCAATATTACTTTTAATTTTTAGTTTACAAAAATTAAGTTGCTACTACTGTAGATCATGTGTTTAAAACAAAGTTACTACACTGCTATAATACTATATTAAATGATGATGAAATTCACAAATATTTCACTCACTGGCAGATCTGCATAGAAGTAATGTTTGCGATCAAACTTTGATACTTTGTTGATATGACAGTTGAGGGCTAGGGCAGTTTGAACACCAGCTACTACACATCTCTTGTTGATAGCCTACAAGTACAAATAATCTATCAACTTACCTGTAAATATTAAATAAGGTACACAACTTTACATTTTATAACCTTTTGGAAACATCTTTTTAATCTTCAATTATGAAAGCTGAAAATGAATAAATATATATGGAATTCTCATCACTTCCATCCTGTATACTATGAAGAGCTTTCATTTTAAACTTAGCTAAAATGTAAAGTAATAAATGTACTTTATAAAAATAATAAAAAAATAATTTTGTGTTTATTAAATCCCTTATTCTATTGACTTACAGGCAGAGTTCCTGGAAAGGCAGCATCAAAGAGAGCTACCTGATTATTTGTACTTTCACCATACTGAGTGCCAGCCCCAGAAAACAGTTTGCTTTCTGCTAGAATCTGAGCATGAATTTCTAATCCCACAACACCTTTCCATTCTCTAAAATGAAAATAAAATGTTAAATTAACTATTTTTGTAAATATTTTTCAACTTCCTTGTTTTTCCACATACCAATTAGGTATCTTGATATTCTACCACATTTTGTATCTTGAAGATTGTTGTTTATGATCTTTATATTAAATGTAGCTAAACAAATAAGACAATGAAATGGCATTAGTGTGTGTACATATCTCAACATCACTGCAGTTTGCATCATATCTTAATGTGTAGATTTACATGTGTAAATAGGAAGGAGTAATGAAAAAATATGAACTGCCCATGTTGGGGCTGTAACTAGCAACCCCTTGCTTTCTAGATCTTTATACGGCTTTACTTAAGGCAACTTCCCACAAGTAGAGATTATATATATGTAGTAAGATGATTGATACTTTCAACTTCTACACCACTCTATCCTTACATAAGGATTTAACCTCCATTACAACTACAAACCAGAATTGGTTTCTCTACGGAAGCATCTCATCGTCCTACAGTTTCTATTCTTTGTGTGGTCAACAGTAACAAATCTGTAGAATGGAGTAATGAGATAAGTCCTGACCCCACTGAGGCTCAAACTAACAACCTCACATCCTTGAGGGTGGACATGCTACCACATGATGAAAGGAAAATTACAAGTCAAGACTGCTAGGGTCTGTTTAATCTATCTAAATGCAAGGTACTTTCTATTACGAACCAAAGGAATAAGATTACCTGAAACTGCATCCATAATGAATCCCTTCAGCATGTTGAATCAGCAGAATACCTTGATTTCAAGCACAAAGTGTCACTGAACACATACATTGAATTAATTACAAAGAAGGCAAACTCCACCATGTACATTGTGCACAGAGATTAAATGCCAGGGAACAGGCAGCTATAGCTATCAACCACTTGTCAAACCTATATTCGTTTACAGTACGATATGCCTCCTCACTATACAGGGATCCCCAAACACAGTGCAGCCATACTGGTAATCATCCAGTCCATAAAAACCACTTAATGAATAACAATTAAATGTATACAAGTAGATTTAACAACATGCTGCAACATTTATCTGGGAACCACTTCTATACAAGACTGGCCAGGGCTATACTAAAGTCATACTACTCCACAACATCACATACACTAAAACTGGACATGTACTATTTGAACCTTATCTCATTCCAAAAACATTTACTGAGACTACAACATGAAATTCCTTCAGTCACATGCCTGAATGAAAGCCAATAAGCAGTCTATCCTGATTCCACCTCAACAAGAGGTCTTCTTCCTCTTAACTTCTGAAAACCAGTTCTGTTTTTAATTGTTTTTAATTCAACTCTTTACACATGTGCAATGATGCATGTGCTCTCAACTTCTACTCACGTATCAGTGTTTAACTTGGAATAGAGAAGCACTTCTCATTTAACACACAAAATATGTTATAATATACTGTAAGCAGGTCAGACATGTGTAGTCAAACAAAATACACTGTTAATCAATACTACAGTTCAAGAATTTTTAAATACATGGACATCGTAAAATCATGACTAGGTGGTTAGCATTGTAATTCTAAAAATTCAGTATATCAATCGATGTATTCATGCTTAACTAATCCCTTTTGAGATTGCATCTTAGGACTCCTTTATACAGCATCGGACGTTTCACAATGTCCCTCGTCGGACATGTCAAAAGCCCGATATAAATGAGTCCCGATGAGTAATAAAAAAGATATCGGTCATTACCATCCCAAATATTTATTAATAAATCTACAATGCAACATTTGCCATAGATCTTATTAATCTGAAACTGTTTTTTAAGCTAGACCAGATGATCCATCGTAAGGACACATAGTCGTAAATACTTGAAAATAGCCTTATATCATTAAAATGAAATATAAAAATTAAAACCTCAACAACAACTTGCACTAACGTTTTGTATGTATTAGACAGCCAACGACGTTTCAAAAAAGAACCTTGAAAGGATTTACAAATTCTGCATAACCTCGGTGTTCGCACTCTCATGGGCGCAGCCATCTTGGGAAGGGAAGTAACTCAGGCATAAATAAATCTACTTTCATTTTACAATGGAATCACAGAAGGTTGGTCTTTTATTTATTATTTTTTTATTCTTATTTTTATTTAACGAAAAAAAAGCGTGCAAGACTTTGATTAATTTGGCTATTCAAACTCTTTTTCTGTATTCACTATAATTCTGTAGTTCTGAAAGAGATACACAGTCATTCTACATTTGTACACTGAATGGACCAACTACAAATGTACTGGCATTGAACAAAATTCATCAGTTTTATAAGATTTATTATAAAACAAAATGTTTGCTAATTCTCCCTTCATGACTACCTAAGGTTTACAGCCGGTAAATTTCAGACATGATTTTGCTTTTTGTGTAAATAGTCGTTGATTGACTACAATGACACATAAATGATTCTGTTATGACGGGATCATGTCATAAATGTGGGTTTCTTTTATTTAAGAGCCAATGACCGATTTAGTAATACAGTGTAATTATACGTCCGACTATTGAGGCGGAATAACTACGTATATGGTGCTACATGATTTATATCAATGGTATACTGTTTAGTGTCTACTATTCCATACATTGACTGGAGGAGGTGTGACCTACAAACTTATTGGAGTTGAAAGATTTAAGGATAGAATCAAACATTTATGTGTACAAGATATGTAAAAAATACTTGATGTGTACAATAGTGATGATCAAAAGCTAAACATACACTAAATTAAGTTAATTTTATATATAAATTATATCTACTTCACGAAATAAGTAACAACAGATTCGAATCGTACATCTGTGAATCCCAACACCTCCAATGTTTCGGGATCTGATACCCCACCCTTGTGTGATCCAGACGTCGACCCTCATTCATTCATTCATTCATTTCTTTATTCCTCCAAAAGATGAAGAGTTACAAATAAATGAAAAAGATATTAACATATTTTAAGATACATGTACACAAGATAGTGAGATTAGTTGTCGATCAAATAAAGAAGTAAATATCCAGAAAGAGAAAGTGAGCAATTAAATTACTAAAGCATTCCAAATGACACCAATGCAGTCGATGATAGCAACCTTTTATCAAAAGAAGTTACTGAAATGTAAGGCGAGACACCTTTTCGGAGAACACACAACAATCACGTAAAAAGTGGAAGAAAAGGTCATCGTATCCTCCGAAAATGTCTTGAATATTTTCGGGAGGAGAACAGAGAAATGTGGCTACCTGAGCCTCACGAGAAGCCTGGTCAACAGTTATATAAACATGTACAGGGTAATCATTTACAATTTTGGTAAATATATCATCACGTAGAGACAAAATATCTATATGTGAGCAGTCTAATAAACAATGTGCGACTGCGTCATTTACAAACGTGCTGCACTTTGCACACATTAGCTGACAAGAAGGAGACATAGTCCATAATTTAGCAACGCTAGCACAAATGTTATCCAAAGATGGGAAACGTTTTGAAAGAAGCCAGATATTTGAAGGCCTAATTTCGATTTGCAAATAGTTAAACCTAGAAAAGTCACTGCTGAGAAGAAGACGTTGTTTCCAGTCAGTAGTGTAATTACGCAATAAGACATTTTTTGTCAAAAATTTCCATTTTTGTTTCGATGGAAAGTACCCTGATTGCAAAAATGTATGTAACACATCAAGTAAATCATGCTCATGAAATATGTTCAAAACATCTGAGACAAGATCTTTTTCTTCTTTACAGACTTCAAAATAACTATGAAAAAGACGAAGTATAAACAATCTTTTAGCGGAAAAATGAGTATCAAGTCTACATAGACTAGCAAAAAAACGAAGTTTGGCTAAATCGACCTCGACTTGTATAGAAGTAAGACCTAACATGCTTAGAGCGATGTCTGAACGTGTGCGACGAGAGAACCTTTGAATGAGTTTTGCACAAAGGTGATGTACAGTTTCAATGCGAGACCAGTCTGAATCTGTCAGAGAAAACCAGAGTTCACAGCCGAAGAGGCATCTTGGCATAACAACAGACTTGTATAATTTCACACCCGTGATAGGGTTCATACCAGTATCAAAAAAGTTGCAGTTAAGTAGCGCAAAACATTGACTGCGTAGCCTGTTAACAATGTCATGGATATCTGGAGATCCAATTTTGAACTTGTTAAGAAAAATGCCGACATGTTTCGTATTGGCTGACTCCGAAACAATCCCATTACCCAGAACCCATTTTCGGGTGTTTTTGGAATAGGCATTTTTGCTTTCATTAAAGACAATGACAGTTGACTTAGATGCATTATACATAAAACGCCACTTAATGCTGTACGCATAGCAGACATCCATAAGATTGTCCAGGCCACGTTTACAAAGTGAGAGCAATGTGATATCGTCGGCTTGCGTCGGGCAAGTGACGTTGGTGCCATGGATAGAAAATGAATAACTTGATGAGCACAGTTCATTCAGTAAATCATTAATAAAAACAGTGTACAGCCAAGGGGAGATAATGCTTCCCTGACGCGTGCCCTGGCAAACTTTGAACCAATCGGAAACAAACCCTTGATGAAGAACGGCACTAAACATATTTTCGTATAGTGAAGCAATAATATGGACGAATTTCGAGTTAAAACCAATATTAGCCAATTTAAACAAAAGGCCATTATGCCAGACGCAATCAAAGGCTTTGGCAGCGTCAAGGAAGCAAGCAAACAACTTACTTTCGTTTTCACGGGCATAGGAAATCGATTCATGTACTAAGAAAGAGGTCATTGTACTACTGACATTCTTTTGAAAACCATTTTGCAAAGGATTAATCTTGAAGAGATCTGTTGCCTCTAAACGCACCAGTAGTAATTTTTCAAAAACTTTTGAAAGAACAGGAAGTAAGGAAATTGCTCGATTCAATTTGCTAGAATCAAACATTTATGTGTACAAGATATGTAAAAAATACTTGATGTGTACAATAGTGATGATCAAAAGCTAAACATACACTAAATTAAGTTAATTTTATATATAAATTATATCTACTTCACGAAATAAGTAACAACAGATTCGAATCGTACATCTGTGAATCCCAACACCTCCAATGTTTCGGGATCTGATACCCCACCCTTGTGTGATCCAGACGTCGACCCTCAAATGTATACTCCATCATATTTCCAATATTACAGAAACGTATTTATCACATGGATTTATAAATACGCCGATACAATGATGGCTTTTCATGTATCAGCATTATATCATCAGGTATTAATATAATAATTCATTATAATTCATTTGACTAGCGGAAACAGATGTATAATCTATAAACTGATTTTTGTATGTGTTATCTATAATACACTTTGTATAGGTATACACACATTCACACGTATATATTATTTCAAAATTTTTCATTGTAACGAATTTACTGACAAAAGGAATTGGACAACAAGCAAAGCCTAAGAAAGCCCTTTCCTTGTTATTATAAACATATACACATCAGTCAAATACCGAAAGATAAATACTAAATGCAGTGATAAATACTAAATACTGTGATAAATACTAAATACAGTGATAAATACTAAATACTGTGATAGATACTAAATACAGTGATAAATACTAAATACTGTGATAGATACTAAATACTGTGATAAATACTAAATACTGTGATAGATACTAAATACAGTGATAAATACTAAATACTGTGATAAATACTAAATACAGTGATAAATACTAAATACTGTGATAAATACTAAATACTGTGATAAATACTAAATACAGTGATAAATACTAAATACTGTGATAAATACTAAATACTGTGATAAATACTAAATAAAGTGATAAATACTAAATACAGTGATAAATACTAAATACAGTGATAAATACTAAATACAGTGATAAATACTAAATACAGTGATAAATACTAAATACTGTGATAAATACTAAATACTGTGATAGATACTAAATACAGTGATAAATACTAAATACAGTGATAAATACTAAATACTGTGATATATACTAAATACAGTGATAAATACTAAATACTGTGATATATACTAAATACTGTGATATATACTAAATACAGTGATAAATACTAAATACAGTGATAAATACTAAATACAGTGATAAATACTAAATACAGTGATAAATACTAAATACTGTGATAAATACTAAATACTGTGATAAATACTAAATACAGTGATAAATACTAAATGCAGTGATAAATACTAAATACAGTGATAAATACTAAATACAGTGATAAATACTAAATGCAGTGATAAATACTAAATACAGTGATAAATACTAAATACAGTGATAAATACTAAATACTGTGATAAATACTAAATACAGTAATAAATACTAAATACAGTAATAAATACTAAATACAGTGATAAATACTAAATACTGTGATAAATACTAAATACAGTGATAAATACTAAATACTGTGATAAATACTAAATACTGTGATAGATACTAAATACAGTGATATATACTAAATACAGTGATAAATACTAACATTTTTAGTGGTAATTATATCAACCAGTGAACGGAACAAGAATCAGTCCGAAAGTCGATTTGCAGGAAGGCAGCAAAGGCAGATTGTCCATATATATATATTCACCCTCCTTTGTTAAATCCATACAGATTAGCAGACAAAAACTGACACAGCAATGTATGAACGGAATACTTTCCGAGTTTAAAAGGATGTCTGGTATCAGTGATCAATCTTTGAATCAACTCAAGAATGGAATTGCATCCAGCTCATGGCAACCATTTAGAAATGTTTGAATGTTTAGAGGAAAGTTCAGAAAGAAAATTAAAAAGGCGTTGTCTTTGGTTAGTGTATATTAAGTGTATACCATCATACTAACCAGTTACGCAATCGTTACATGTTTTGTATATATGTTCAAAATTCCTTTGTACTTTGTGAAGGTAATACATGAATAACAACAAAGATTTATATCGATTAGAATAGTATAATCTGTTACGTTAAATGGTTTTGGTAATTTCAAAGAAAATGACGGTGCGCAATATTTATACTCAAGCGATGTTTTTTTTATGTTGCATTTATCTGCAATCAGTATACTTAACAATTTTATTATTTTGATAAAACATTCTGAAAACGCTGTTAAAATCATTACAATCCTTATACTATTTCCTTTCATTGTTTACACAATTATTTCAGCAATGTACCTTCAAAGGTACAAGTATTTGACAAGAAACATATACGAGTATGTGGTCCGGAGGGGACATTTCAAGATGTCCGTTTGATTTAAACTTTTCTTTTTCGTTTGCGCCTTTGTTATGTATAAGGAATTGAGCGCAAGTTGTCTTACTTTTTCAAAGCCCTTTCCCAGTAACATAATACAACATCAATGTTCACAAGATGACAAATTGTTGTTTGTGAGGTACGGTAAACAATCAATTAGCTAACATTATGCATCGGATTTCCATGCATCAATCTGCTGTTATGAGACTTGCTTTACCAAATCGTTACACACACATTTAGCATAAGCTTCGATCGATATCATCAAACCATAGGCAGATATTCAAAATGAAAATATTTTGCATCGAAATCTGAACTTCATCGGAAATCCGATAACGAATCAGGGCTTTCTCAGAAAATCAGACCTGTGAGTCGACTGGGCCTGTGCATGTCTAATACTGAAGTATTCATTTATGTCAGGATGTTACATGTAACAACGAAGTAGATATAGACGGTCGGTCATCGACACTTTGAATTTACCGTGTGGCCCTGAATGAAAAAAAAACAATGCATGGTCTCTACCGTGTGGCCCTGAATGAAAAAAAAAACAACGTATGGTCTCTACCGTGTGGCCCTAAATGAAAAAAAAAAAAAAACAACGCATGGTCTCTACCGTGTGGCCCTGTATGACCAACATCTTAGACTTGTTTAATATTTTTTCATGACATTGTTAACAAGAACATCTGGTATATGATGTACATTCATGAGAGTTAACATATGTACATTTATATACATATATACGTCGTTAATAAAAACGGCCAATTTCAATTCATATTGAGTCTTTGTGGTTTATTTACAAGTCTAACTAGCTTGCCATGGTAGCTGTTCATAGTGGAATCATTTATAAACGCTATTATAAAGGATATATAAAATTGGTGTAGTGACCCTTTTTTCAAGAATATAAACCGAGATTTCATCATCACACATTCTTATATGTTTACAGCACTTCAACCGCAAACGAACTGGGAACATTATATGTTATTATTCGTGAATCAAACCCTAATCATTTGTTTACTTTGTAATTTCGTCAACAAATTTCTTTACTTTACCACCTAAATCAGATCATTAGTTCTCACTCTGTTAAGTACGTGAGAAAGGACCTGAAAGGAGGGGTACCGTATTATTCGTATGGAGCATGGACCCTTTTACAGTTTAGAGTTTGATAGAATTTGAATAGCGACTGCATGTTACCTTTCCAATTATTCTCAAAACTAAACATGGATATGAAAACATTTTCAGTTGTAAAAAACTTGCGGCCCTTATAACTCGAAATCCTGGATCCGACTCTGAGAGTATAATATATCTATATCTAGATTTTCGAGTTCCAATGTATTTCTAGATACATAACCAATATAGATTCGGAACTGATAATTGAATGGCATCTCTTCTTTCACATCCATGGATGAGAGACCGCTCTCCGTTATGCTCTTCTCGTTATACATATACATCTAATTGAAGGCTCACGTAATAAAAATTGAACTTGAAACTCTAAGAAATATTAATGTTCTTTAAACACTAGTATAAATGACCTATCCAGTAAATACACTTTCTCCTTATCCATCTCTACTATTCTACAAGTGAGTACCCCTTTCATCTTGATAATAACCCCATGTTTCGCTACCGAGCACATTCCGAAAGATTTTATCGTTAAATAGATATATACAACTGTACATAAATATAATTGTAGACAAATCATTAATTGATGAAGGATACAACAGGTCATGCCTAAATCAGGTTTTTGTTCGTCCAAAGGATACCAAAAATAGTTAATAAAATATGTGTTGGGTATTTCGTCTGATTATTGGATTGACACGTGTTCCACGTGACTCATATTAATCAATGGTAAATAAGGTTATGAAAAACATCATTACTTTCATCTATTCATTTTTTGTTGCATGTAGCTTTATAGGTTTACTTAAGAGCTGGCGTTGGGTAGTGCTAGATGGCATTGGGTATCTAGAATTAAGGCGTTACCATTGAGTAAATTGTCGCGCCGCAGTTTTACTTTCGTTTTCTGTGGTTTCAGAGAAAACGCATCAATAAGAGAAGTCGGTATGCTTACAACTTCTAGGTTGAACCGTTGTTACATAAAATAATTGTAAAATATACATGTACAATGCAGTTTGATCGCTACACGTCCACTCGATCGTTACATATACACCAAGCATTCTGATTGCTAGCTCATGATCACAATGGTCAGATCGAAGTAAATCATAGTAGCTCTAGATCTTCAGTAGACCCAGGCCTGGGGACGTTTTTTCGATGAACCGCCAATACAATGTTCCCGTGCTATGATAGTATATATGCATTCGTTTACATTGAATAACTCCTGTCGGTTGGAGCGAATACATGTAAGAAACGACACAATGTCATTCTTTTATCTAACTCACTTAGACGGTTTACATATATATCCTCACAATCACAGTAGGAGGGTCGTTTCCGTCGATCTATCCCTATTTATGGTAGGCGCTTATAAGAAGCGTATGCTGAAATTAACTGCGCAACATTAAACTGCAGACCACAACTTAACATGGGCGTCTCTGTTGTAACCCTACGTACCGTTGGTGTTGCCTTAGTGCTGTTGGTGTGTCTGGGTAAGTTTTGACGGCTGTGTAGTTTATTTCTGTTGTCCAGAGACAATTTCATTTCTGTTGTTCTGATCATGAGACAATGGTACACGAAGAACGTTCATTACACACATGCACAGACATTTCTACCTTTTGGGAGTCCTCCTCGGGACTCGCTAACATCGGGCGTTTGACAATGTCCATAGACGGACGAGCTGGACACTATCAAACGTCCGTCCGACAAGGGACATTGTTAAACATCCGATATAATTGAGTCCCAAAAGGAATCCCCAAAGGGATTAGCACAGATCTGTGGGCATCAGACATGTCAACAATATACGCTTCACTTCACATCAGGAATTATACTAGCACAGAAATACAAATTTTGGTTAGCTGCATACTCTAAGTACGCGTGTATAGGTTAATTGTTGCATGTCCGAATATTTAAGCAATGGATTTATATATATATTACAACCAAATCAATTTTCTAGCGTGTCGAGCTAACAAAGAAGTCTTTGTCACCCTGCCTCTTCATTGTTTCTTGTATAATTTACCCGTACTTGATTTATTAATTTCACTTCCCTGTTGTGACTTGAGATGTGAAGTAGTAAGCAGTAACACCATCTAGGGTCCATATAAAGAAATGCAGTTTACATGTATAATTACATGTATCACACTGAGGTTGAACAAGTACATCATATCTCTTACTGGTTTGTAACTGTTTAACAAGTTACGTATAATTTTGATACCACAGCCAGAATGATATTTAATCATGTTTTTGGGTATATTAGCTAGCCTATATGTCTGTGATATCATTGTTTTTTTTTCATGTGTAAACTCTACCATAGACATTTTCTATATTAAAGTCCTTTTACAATATATATGTGTCATATTTTTTTTCCACATCACACAAATACAAGAGTAGATTTTGGTACACGTACTTCAGTTCTAACCTATAATATTTAATCTGATTACTGCTTTCCTTTTTAATAAGTTAATTAAATTTGTGACGTTTAAGATTTTACTTTTCTGTACTAATTAGTGAATCAAAACTGATCAAAGTTGAATGATATAAGCTGATAATTTTGATAAAATGTCCCATGCCAAGTCATCCTGGCTATCTCATTGTTTAATTACACCGTTAAAATATTTTCTCAAATGTCATGTACATGTATCAATATATATTTAGCGTTCTTAAATACCACCAGACTTTAATTGACAAAGGCAAGGTGTCATTATAGAGCAAAAGTAAGTATAAATTGGACATTTTTTATTTATTTACAGTAAATTTGAAGTTTTCTTTCAAATGGAGAAAAAAGCAGTCATTCAAAAACAAAACCTTGGTTATAATTCTCTTGATGTCAAATTCAATATTTCTTCAATATGGAGAATTCTTGTCCATGACTTGTTTTTTTTATGCCTCTGGATTGAAATATTGAGGGCATATTGTTTTCTGTGCTGTTTGTTTGTCCATTGTCAACTTTAACCTTGCCTATAACTATTGCACCATAACATGTACAGCTTTTATCAATTCCGGCTTCTTCTAAAAAACACCTGGACCTATTTCAGTGAAATGCAGAAACCTGCCATGGCTAAAGGTGACCCAAAGTTTAAATCATATGGTCCCAGCTCCCCAGCGGCTTGGGGGCCAGGGCTAAAAAAGGTGAAATTTATTGAAATTTCAAAATACTTCTCAACACCATGTATTGTAGAATGAAATACTGTCCTTGGATAGAAGGATCTTAAATTAAGGTGCTTTACAAAAATTGTAAGTTTTAAGACTCCAGGGTCTCAAATTTCCCCCTTGAGAGGTGGTGAAGTTAAAAATACCATAGTTAGATAAGGAAAATTTCATTTCTAAGCACAATCGGTTTATTTTCTTAGGGGTATAGTTCAAAGTTGATAAGAGTTTTTAGTATAGGATCACAGTTTGATTATATATATATTGACACTGGCTGACCCCCCAGCCAGATAGTTACAGTAAAATAGGGTCAAATCAACTGAAATTTAAAAAATCTTCTTCTCAACCCCCAAAATATGGTAAATTCAAATACTCTTCATGGATAGAATGCTCTTAAAGTGCATGACCCCAGGATCTAATATATCTCCCCGTACAGGGGTTAAAGCTGACTATAGGTTTATATAGGAAAATTACATTTTTGAGTGTAACTTTGACATAGTTGAAACTGCCCCGGTATGGAATGACATGTTTTGCATATTTTACTTCTGCATTACATGTTCAGTGAATTTCCAGTTACTTTGTGAACAAGATTACTTGTGTAACGTGTTACATAATTATAAGAAAAGATGATAGCATTTTAACTCAGATAACCATTAAAGCCTATGGACTTCTTGTTTAGACATATTTTTTATTTTTACTGAAGTGAAAGCTTTTTTGTTGCGGTTCTTTTATCTGTTTGGTGGGTTTATCACCCCATCAACAGACAGGGTCATTTTGTGGCAGCTTTCCTTGTAGTAGTTGGTTGACTGCATGACTAAACAACATAAGGAAGGTCCATTACATGCTGTTCAGTGCAGTTAAGTTAAAATGTCTTATCTGAAGACACAACCATGGTCAGTTTCTTTGCTGCCTGAGAAACACAAACTGCCATGGGTAGGAGCATCAAACCATGTGCCTCGGATCTTCACTTGAGAATATCTCGGCAAGCAATATACCCTACAGAGTTAGTGAGGCCCCTTGAATTTGGCTCACAGAAATATGATCTTTGAGCCAAAACCTGGTTGAAAGGATTAATGAAAGAGTGAGTCTAGTTCATGTATAGAATTTTGATTGCAGTTGTACACAGTTGTACATTGTGATTATAAAGTGATTTTGGTTTGTTTCATGTTTTCACCTGTTGCCCTAGTTAGTGTTCCTTTGGGTATTTATACAGGTAAGATCCTTAGCTGAAACTTTATCATTATCACTGCAGCAGCTTCAGTCTCCAGTTCCCCACTTATAAATATATATTAAGATGAAAGAAATCGAGTTTCCATTTGATTTGGTAGCAGCATCCTTAAGATCATGTCTTACATTCAAGACAGATTTTTGTTCTGAAATTGAAATTGGTGTGTTGAAGGATATGAAGGATATTTTCATATATTCATTATATTCAAAACTGTTTGCCAGATTGATTTATTATCCACGTTGAGTTCCTTTAAAAAGTGAGTTTTTATTTAAACATTGTATTTAAGAGGCTTTGTTCTGTTTTTAGTTCGAATCGGAGAAAGTGGAGAGTGTTGTAGGGCTAGCTACAACATCATTAAAACACAGGCATCAAGTGACCAGAAATGGTGTGATGACTACTGTTGCTTCATGGTGTACAAGTATGACTGTTGTGACGACTACAATCAACGGGCACCTGAGGACATGAGGATGCCAATGTGTGTGGCCTGGTTCCAGGCGTATTGGTAAGCCATGTATATAAGCATCATTTCTCTGTATTTAGTTTTAAAATTATTTGAGTTAATATCGGAATTATTTAGCTCACAAATAACTGATGGGTGCCAATATAATGAAATATTTGGCATATTACTTTAAACCCAGCCTAAAATCGTACTATCAGCAGTGTGTAGAGGATCTTACATTTCCTCGTGTCATATGAATAAAATTTATGCAGGTCGACTTGGAAACTTCTATTTGCATTATACTAAAACTTGCTTGAATACCAATATCACTATTGCTAACATTCAGACTATATAGGATAATAGACTATATTGTTACAACAGGTATATTCCAGTATTGATTGTCCTGGCTGTTGTTGGTGGAATCATATGCTGTGTGTGCTGTGTGTGCTGTCGTAACAGAAGCAACGGAGCCATCATGGTACCACCTCCACAAAGCAGTAAGTATTTGATATCCATTGCATCTCCAACTTGTTATTATTTGTTATAACTTTATAACTATTACAAATTATCCATGGTATTGTCTGAAAACAGTAGCCATAACCTGTTGACATTTTGATATTGAAATTTAGTGAATCAGCAATATTCAAATTTGCCAGGTACCGAAATGTAGATAACTCGTAATGAATCATGATTGGGATATTCTTTGTAGTCACTTATTCCTTGGTGAAACCAATAATGATAGGGGTTGGCCCATAATTGTATCCTTCACCATATGCTGTATGTATTGTATAAGTACCTAGCAGGTAAATGTCCCATCGTAACCTTACCAATACTAAGGGTAAATATTAAACAGGTTCAGAAAATTCATTATTTTAGCCAAGGATGAAAGTTTCTCAGTTCAGTTAGTCCCAATACATGTATGTAATTGTCAGTGAATTATCATGCAGTAACTTTGAGACATAAATGAGCTTGTTTTTTATCATCCTAGGTATGCTGATTGTGACCCAGCAGCAGCCACAAGTAAATGACCAGTCCAGCAGTAATACAAACCAATACAATGTGGGCTATGACCAGTAAAGACGAGGAGCTCACAGCTCCAAATTTCCATCATCTACTGCAAAAGTTGTATTTTGGTTGTTCAAATTTTCAAAATTTGCCATAAGCTTGAAGCAAATTGGATATTCGCAACAAACTATGGTTGTCACCCTTACTTGCATTTGTTCCATTTTGGAAAAATAGAACTCAAAAAAATAACAGTAAGAACAGTACAAGCTCTGATATGATTTAAATCATAGTGTGGGGTGACCATCCTATTGAAAAGTGGTTTTTTATTTATAAATTCTCAAAATTAGAAGGTGTTTATATATATATTGAACATTTGATAATGAAAAGTTCTACAATACATAACTGAAAACGGGATAGGAAGTTCAGATCTGCAATATACAAGAATAATTTGAAGAGGATTCTGATGTTTTTAACCAGTTTAATATATGTTTGACGATATATCTCACTACAGCCATTTGATTTTTGTATATAAACACTAAGTTTCTATTGAGTACCTGCTTACTCTCATTTCATAGTTTAACAATGTAGTACATTTTATTGGGATTCAGGTTGTCGACTTCTTCATTCATTTCAGATCATTGTTAAACAAAGTATGTAATAAGTACAGTATACACTGCTTCCATTTTGTTTTTTGTTCACCAAAGATCAAAATGATTTAAATCTAAGATGTCACCATAATTTTAATATCCTCTATGTCCTATAACACCGAAAAAGATAAATCGATAATTTACTTCCACTAACACCTTGACTTGACACTGTGCGTCAAAAAAATGTCAATTACCAAAGTGATTAGACCTATTCCCAAACACACAATTAAAAAACCGCGATCAGGTGAAGAGAGTTGATATGAACTCTTACCAAACCTTGATCTGTCATCTTGAGTCAGGAGATCAGAATTGATATGAAATCTTACCAAACCCTGATTTCTCTTCCTGGGTCAGGAGATCAGAATTGATATGAAATCTTACCAAACCCTGATTTCTCTTCCTGGGTCAGGAGATCAGAGTTCATATGAAGTCTTTCCAAACCCTGATTTCTCTTCCTGGATCAGGAGATCAGAGTTCATACAAAGTCTTCTCTAACTCCCTTTGACATGGACATCATGGATCAAATGATAACTTTGATCTTGGCAATGTTGCATAATATGACGTTTTCCTTAACATGACTCGACACCCTGGGACTTAAGAATTCATGTAAACATGAAGTTGTCTTATGGAAGAATTCAGAAAAGATATCACTCATTTTCCTTGATTTCATATTGATAGATATCACCATGAAATTCAATGACATCTTGGATAAGACAACAGTTCAAGTTTTATTTTACATTACAAGAAAAATTGGGAAAAAAGACCAAGTACAGATTAATAATGTCGAGTAAGGGGCATGTTTATGTAATATGCGTCCTTGATGACTGTTTTGTTTCGTACTTATCAGAAACAGGATTCCACCTTTCTTGATCATGTTTAATTATTATTCATTAAATGACTAATCTGTTTATTTGATATGCTCTTAATCTCAAAGTCATAAGTGAAACAAGTTTTTTTAGATTTTCATCTTTGTTGGAAGATGATACTTGCATGTAGTTTGGTTAAGTGGTTAGGACTGTTAGTTTGGTAATTGTATTTAATGAATTAGTGCTATTTCTTCTAGTGTAGGAAGATATTAAGATTTATCTTTCATAGAACGTAGATTTTGTTTTCAATCAACAGATTTTGATTCGTAGAATTATTGACAAGTTTTCAATATATGGCTTTATGAGTATGTATCTATATGTGTAATTAGAGGTTAGAATGATTCTGTTGTTTGATGTTGATACTGTTTGTGAGCTAGTTGTAACCACCTCCTTTGGCAGCTTTGTAACATCCTTCAGAGTAAGGGAGGATTCATTGATAACTAGATCTGAAAACAAATATTTATACAGTAAACCATAGGCCTAGAGAAAAGATCCTTCTCTACGATCATAGTGTGACCTTACTCTACATTTGTGTGTAATTTATTCTTTATATGACTTGATTCACTTGTTACCACAAAAATAAGTATGGACATTATTTTCAATCCATGAATTGCAGAAAAGAGAAAAAGAAGAGAAAAGAACAAATACACAAGATGTTGGCTGTCCGACAGCCTTCATCTCCCTTGTTTATATGATCATTAAGTACTGTAATTATATTGTTTTGTGAACAATTATTTCTGCACCGCTTTTTTTTGTATATGTTGTTCATTGTAAGAAATAACAAAAAGGGTTGTTAAATTTTTTTCCAGCTATGTTTCATTTGTCATGTGTTACACCAAAGAAATTTAATTGAGAAAATGATGATAGTAATTCATTGATACAATATTACCATTAACTTTCAGATCCCATAATTAGCAAAACTAGAAATTTAGTAGACCATGCCACAAAATTGCCAATCTGTTGGAGTATAATTGAAACTAATCACTCAATGTTGTGCAGTGACATATTTTGAATGCAATATTTGTCTACATATCGTAAAAGGTCTTAACTTCAGTGTATACATTTTATCCCAATTAAGGTTCACAACAAACAACAACATGCTTAGCAACTTATTTTATGGAGTGGAGAAATGTCCGTAATTAAGATACAGGCCTCAAAAATCTACATTGACACACATTTGAGCTTTTGGGTTTGGTGGGCTGAAAGGAGTTGATAATATTTTCTGTTTCACATAGATTATACTATTAATCCCTTTCCTCTAATGTACGGAACGTTTACACTTCAATAAATATGTTCCTGGAGTCTCATTTTGATTTTAACACACTTTTTTAAAGATGTAGCATTTATGAATTGATTTTTTTTTTTTAGCACGCAAAGTGATTTTGCACATATTTTTTGATGTTTTGTTCACTTTGATTATGTATATTTACTAATAAAGTAGTGTTGACTAGTTCAGTCTTTGATTTTTTTTTTTTTTTACTCCTATTTTTTTTTTTTTTTTTTTATTTATTTCATGTTTCCTATGATTCAGCACTTATCTGAAAACTATATCTCTAATGGGATAGAAGCTATTCGTAAAAGACCAGTTATGATATCACTGAGGAAAGGTGTGCTACTTTTAGCTATATTAGTTACTAAATTGAAAAGGACAAGTATCATTACTCACTATAACTGGACAGATAAGTGACAAATCTGGAAACTAAATCATTCAGACATATGTGCATATGTATTGATTTAACAGAGCAAGTCAAAGACAGGAATACATTCATATGAATGACCACAACAGGAAAAAAGACAAACACACAAATCAAACGCTTATTGACTTATTTTCAACATGTCCTAACAAAGTACTTGATGACTAACTCTAGTATATCTGTCTCTTAGTTTCACATCCTGACCAATGCAACTTCCTAAAACAGGTGACAGTTTAATATTCGTCAATGTTTACCTGTGGTGTGAGATAGAAGTTGAGCGTGTCATCATCTTACTTTATGTTGTTATGGATAATTTTCAAATTGCCCTACGTCCGTCTGTCCGTCCATAAACAATTATTGCTGTTTCTTGAGAAGTACTGGGTGGCCCTTTCTCAAATTTCATATGTAGGTTCTCTTTGGTCTCTAGTTGTGCCTGTTTGTTTTTAAGACGTATCAGAATAACAAAAAGGTTGACATTTAGCCATCTTGTAATTTTTCAATGAAATTTGTTATCGCTAATTCTTGGAAATTACAGGATAGACTTCTCGCAGATTTCATACGCAGGTACCCCTTGATCTCTAATTGTGCCCATCTGATTTTGGGACTGATCAGAAAAACAAAATCGCCGACAGGCAGCTATCTTGGATTTTGACTTTGAAAGTTTGTTATCGCTATTTCTTGAGAAAAAAATTGCATAGATCTTTCTCAGATTTCATGTATATGTTCCTCTTGGTCCCTAGTTGTGTTGTTTGAGTTTGGGACTGATCAGAAAAACAAAATGGCCGACAATCAGTCATCTTGGATTTCACCTATTAAAGATTCTTATACCTCTTTCATAAAACATACTGAATGGATCTGTCAGATTTCATAAGTGTGTTCAAAGAGCAAATAAAGAACAAACAATGGTGGGCGCCAAGACCCCTCTGGGATCTGTAAATCGAATCCAAATTTAAAAAAATAACAGATAAACATTCCAACTAACTGATTGGGCCAATGATTTCCGTATTTCTTCCACACTTGTGGGATTACCAGAGCAACCGAAGCTGTATGATATGATTAATTAGTACACTGCAGATAAGGTGTAGGTGTACATGTATCTACACAGCAATAAGTAGGTGATGAGGAAGAGACATGGACACAATGCACAATTCAGTCATCTACAGTAAGTCCTAGAACATCAGATTATCAACATTATATCAAGGATTCAACAGGGCATTACACCAACCCGACCAAAATACACAAGAGAATGACACTGTCAGACGCTGGGAATACATATTTATATATATTAAAATCTCACTGGAATATTGACTAGCTAACAAAATATCAAATATTCACGAAAAATCTTAACAAAATACCCTTAAAGTATTACTAGAAAACAAAATATTATTTTGCGAAAATCGGATATCAAACTCATGTCACGAACTGAAATAACCAAGTCCGTGCTTGTGCCTACTAGTTACTAAGGAAAGATAACATATTTATCACAACCACATACCTCTGTATCGAAATCTCCATAAAAATTAAATTGGAAACATCTCTTGATAACAATGTTTTAACTAAATAGAAGATAATTAGGATTAATACATAAATATTTAATGGCAAATCACTTCGATTCTTTTCGGCTTGAGGATAGAAAAGTGCATTTGATCACAAGAAAGCTGTAGGTGCCCGTAAACTTCATTTTACTACAACGTTTAGTTAACTAATATCATGATATATACAGGTTACAAATATTTATTTCTATGCTGTTGAATGGGCTCACTTCATTTGGGTGTCATTTGAGACCGCACAACATCGGATTTGGCTTTAAAACCGAAAGGGATAAAAACAGTTATATTAGTTAGATAGAATATGGATGTAGCTATTTTAAAGTCTTTGAGTAATACTTCTAACGTTTGGCGAGTACAGTGACAATTGTTTTAGATAAATTTATGATATATAATTAGAATCATAATTTTAAAGATATTGCTTTATCAGACTTTTCAGGATACTTTGGTGTGACTTGTAGTTCTGTTGATGATTCCCTTGTTCTCACTCGGGAACATCACATTGCTTAACATGGCGGTTGTTGGCGTTAAAACAAAGGACGCTTACCCTTCCGAAACACCTTTTTGAAAATTTTGCCCTAGTTTCACTTAATTGAAGTTTGGATTATAATTATGTTCTCTTGTCGGTTTATTGCACACCAGATATATCTGTACTTTGCAGTTCTAGTTTAGCGTAAAAAAATTAAAAAAAAAAAAAAAACTATAAATGAGCCAAACGATAGCCCAAATGACAATAAAATATGAAAATTTTCTGTTTTCCAACAAATTACTGTGAAAATGCAGAAAAACAACTGATTATGATTCATCATCACGTTGTGTACGAGGAGTGTAGGTGTATTACACCTGTCAAGTGTAATAACATCGCACCCCCTGGTTACTGTCCGCTCTACATGCTCTCGTCCTTACTACGTATGTATACAGTACCTCCCCGCAGGGGGTCAGCAGGGCAGCACATCAAATAGAGCCATTGAGAAGAGGGATGGACGTAGACATAACCTCTCACCTTACATGCAACACACCCAGCATGACTTGACCACAAAGACTTTTGTAGAGTGTGCATGGACAGTACATTATGGTCGGAGGAAAGTTTTCTTTCGTCTGGGTTTTGAGTTTCCTCTGTGTTTTAGGTAAGTCCACGAATAACATAATGTATATGTTTCTATAAAATCAGTTTGTTTTCAGGGAACGTCCAGTACTAATTATGTCAAAGGTATCGATGCTATCTTTTGTAATTGAGATGATTGAGATCTCAACAAAATTGAATAGCGCCTATGTTGTACCTGTGATATACGTATCTAGCACCGCCAAAAGCCTACTTTTCCAAAACACGTTATATCATGATAATGGTATATCGGGACATTTTAACCATTTGACCGAGCTTCAGAGTAGAAATAACAGTAATATTTAAGATCAGAATAAGTAAAGCACATAAGAATTACTATCTCTCCCATCCACATCAAAGCAATTAGTGCGCCCAGTTAAATGCAGTAACACAGACATTGCACACTGTAATATTTTTATTTTCTGTTATCACAGCACTTTACAGCTGTAACACAATAAGTGACCAAAGTGTTTTAAATATAGCATAAGTACTTTTCTATTTCTCATCAACCAAAGCAGTTCTACCGGTTTCTAACTTTGGTCTCTGCAAGACTTTAAAAAACATATGGCTTAAAAGGTTCTCATGAATTAATGATAAAAAGGATATATTTTAAAAAGAAAATGTCTTCACCTGAAAAATGTATGTTTTACTTTCCCCGACTACCACAACTATTGACTGCTTTCAATACAAAGATTGTACAAAATTCACACAAGTGACTGGCAACTTTTTAATACAAATTTGAGTACAGGAGAGGCATCTGACGAAAAACAAAATTGGTCGAAACATGCCAATAAAGCACACAGAACAGTGCTCTACTTAGCAATATTTCACAAGAGCACCAGGAAATTAAGTTTATTATGAATTGTGTCAAATGAATTTAAATGTGGCATACAAACCTCAGGACTTAAGTCCAACAGCAGTGTCTAACCACCTGCATTCTCAAAGGATTATACAAAAGATAGGTAAATAACAAATGCCACTCAAATTTGGAATGATATGCAGCAGAGACGAAATATGAAATTAAACTGCACCATACAGATGTTTAGTTAACAAGCGAAAGCTTTCTGACGCCTCAGTTTGACGAAGTTAATGATTGCCAAGAAATGAAAATATACATTTGACTTAACTACACATCAAAATTTATCGTCATGATCGCAAATAGATTACAAAATAAACATTTTCAATGTTGCCGATAGCTAGAGATATGAGTCAAATGAAGAAGGAAATATTGTTTTATACAGTTTCGTCATTACTTATACCTATTGTAAAGGAGTGGTATTTGCTGTCTATCTGATTTTATAGAAACAAACGATTTAAATGTTCAGAGACAAGTAAAGTATTTTTGCATGTAACATGATATATTATTACGAATTTGAAAAAAAAAACAATTAAGTTGTTTCCCCAAGGTAAACACACTTAGATGCAGGGACACACACACACAAAAAAAAGAAAGCAATTCTTGTTACTAACAAGTTGTTGCAATATCTTTAATATAAGTATTTTTGTAAACTATCGTTTTCAATCTATGCCCTTACTTTCATGAAGTTAAAATGTTTTTCCCTGTCGTGTTTTTTTTAATGTATAAATGAACTGAATTTTATAGACTGTTTTAATTATTTTTACATGTCAAACGTAAGTAACGTTTCATATAAAGTAAATACTACAATTCAATTTATTTCATTGTTTTATTAGCGACGTTGATTTAGCGATTACTACAACCATGCTAAGAATTCCAACACTTTCCCACGGTTCCTGGACTTAAAATTGTTAAAAAATGCACATGGTGTAACTTGTTCAAATGATTTTGATAAAAATCAATGCATTCATGAGATCATGCCAGCCGATTCACGGAATGTGTCCAAATATCACGTGACTACGTCCGCATGAATGCTGAAATAATAATGATTACCCCTGCAATGAATATATATTAATTTACCATTTCGTAGCCGTATCTCAGACTGAAAAATGTTTCCTCTTTTTATTCATTATAACGACATTGACCTGCAAACAAAATACGATCTATGTACAATGTGACAGTTCATGTAGCTCATTCAGGATGTTTGAATCTAATGGTTGGTGTTTATTTACTTTGTCAGTGAAGGTGGCCGAAAGTGGTGAATGCTGCAGGTCGCATTATGACGTCATGGGCAATGTAATGAATGAGCGGTGGTGTGAGAATTATTGTTGTTTCCAAGGTAACATTTACAGTTGCTGCAACAATTGGTTCTTCCGCGCACCGGCTCGAGACAGATCTACGTTCTGTGTCAACTGGTTTACTCGTCACATGTAAGTTTTAACCCGTTTTCAAGAAAAACAAAACAAAATTTCGTCATCAAAATATTTTTTCCTTCTGTCGTTTTTTCAGTTATAAAAACAAATAATATTGTGAGGTATTTCAGTGTAGCGACACAATTAAGTAAAACAAACACTTCATCGACAGTGTGCACGTGATATCCTGAGATCGCAAAATGGCGCGTTTTATAAAGTGAATTCGTCCGAGTGCGATTTGAGAATTCGACAGAAATCGATATGGTACTTATATGGAGTAAAGTTAATATGTGACAATGTTACACATAACTTTCATGTCATAACATCTCTGATTCACCAAAAACATTTTAATCAATATTACACTATGACAGGGTTTGAAATTAATCACTTACATGACAGATGGCTGGAGGCGAAACTTCGTGAACATTGTTATGAATGTACCTGAAATATTACTCTATAGAAACATTTCTATGCATGACTTATTATCAAGCTGAAATATACAGGCAAAACAGTACATGGATATTAAGTGTTCATATTTAGATATGTTCATTGTTTGTGTTAACAGATGGGTTCCGATCCTGGTGGCGTTAATCATCATCGGGTTGTTGATTGGTTGCGGGGTGTGCTGCTGCTGTATATGCTGTTAATGAAAGGATGACGTCACTCAACCGACGTGTGACGTATTTGGAGAGTTACAATGAACTCATTGACATGAAACACACGGAATACTGTTTGACTTTTCGTATATATATTCAGGACGTGGAATGGTGTCATTTGGAACCAGTGTAAAATATCTGATATTTTGTAAAGTGATAATAAAATTATTTATTTTTTTTTATATAAACCATTTTCTGTCTGTTGTTTTAATGGTAATGTAAAACACTTCAATATAGGATGAAACTCATGTTAATGCGTTCCTTTCGCTGGTTGCAACTTACCTATTGATTTCCTATTCTTGAAATCGGATATGGTTTACTAATTAGATTAGCAGATGTTGTTATTTACTGTTTACTGTCGTAACCATGTAGAAACAATATTTAACAATATTTTATATAGCAACAATAGCTACAACAGATTACAATTATTATGTAGGTATAGTTCATATGCTCACAATAGGAACAGGAGAACACTAACTATATGTTAGTACATTGCATTTACCCACAACAGGTAAAAGTAAGTATGTTGTACATTGCATTTACCCACAACAGGTAAAAGTAAGTATGTTGTACATTGCATTTACCCACATTAGGTAAAAGTAAGTATGTTGTACATTGCATTTACCCACAACAGGTAAAAGTAAGTATGCCGTACATTGCATTTACCCACAACAGGTAAAAGTAAGTATGTTGTACATTGCATTTACCCACAACAGGTAAAAGTGAGTATGCCGTACATTGCATTTACCCACAACAGGTAAAAGTAAGTATGTTGTACATTGCATTTACCCACAACAGGTAAAAGTAAGTATGTTGTACATTGAATTTACCCACAACAGGTAAAAGTAAGTATGTTGTACATTGCATTTACCCACAACAGGTAAAAGTAAGTATGTCGTACATTGCATTTACCAACAACAGGTAAAAGTAAGTATGTTGTACATTGCATTTACCCACAACAGGTAAAAGTAAGTATGTTGTACATTGCATTTACCAACAACAGGTAAAAGTAAGTATGTTTTACATTGTATTTATCCATAACAGGTAAAGTAAGTATGCCGTACATTGCATTTACCCACAACAGGTAAAAGTAAGTATTTTGTACATTGCATTTACCCACAACAGGTAAAAGTAAGTATGTTGTACATTGCATTTACCCATAACAGGTAAAAGTAGGTATGTCGTACATTGCATTTACCCACAATAGGTAAAAGTATGTTGTACATTGCATTTACCCACAACAGGTAAAAGTAAGCATGTTGTACATTTTATATGCCCGCATTAGATAGAGTAGAATAAAAAGAGGATTTGTCGGTTATTGAAGATAAACGGAATGGTAACACCGAAAACTAGAAATTATCTGTACCTAATACTAGTAACTGCCTTATAATGCTATAACTGTTCATGTGTTGTGAAAATAACAAGCCATAGACGTGTTAAATCATCCTCTGTATGGGTGAGAATATACTTGATGATTTTTTATCATTCTCTTAAATACTTTTATAGAAAGAAAACGTTTACTTATATTGACTCAAGATACGAAACCTCAACAAGCAATGTACTGTATCTTTACTGACCGCTGCTTCCAATGGCAATCTAATACATAAATACATATATGAAACATGAATACTTCGGAGACCATATGATGTTGAAAGAACAAACAAGGAACAACATTTGACAAACGTTTATCAAAACTTTTAATGCAAACTGAAAAAAAATATTACCAATTAATCAATCATTTAAAATCTACAAAAACCAAGAATTGCGGCATTAATATGTCAGCTTCTCTACACCCTTCTAGTAGGCTTTGCCAAAATCGAAAGCTTCATACGCACCTGGTATCATCTTGATAATGAACCGTGGTGACTGGTTTGTGATTGCAGTAAGTGAAGACGAGATAAACTACTAGTCATTATGATGGTAAACCAGACCCTATATAAGCTTATGGTAAACTCCACTCCAATTTAATGCATTAACAGTTATTTATCTGCTTTCGATTTTGTCGTGACTTACTCCAGAAGTGTAGGCATAGTCTTAGCTAGAACAGAATGCCAATAAAGTTAACAAATGGAGACATCAAATTTATTATGTCAAATCATCAACTAATCTTTAAGAATGCAAAACAACAAACTTGTCTACTAACAAGAGGCCCTATAGGCCTGCGTCGCTCACCTGGTATTTAACGTTTTATCACCAGAATATCAAAATTTCTCCACACTGATCTACAAAGTAAGCTGCGAGTCAATACTAAAACTAGCATGCTTAAAACAAACAAGTGTTAATATAATGTATTTACGACAAATGATGGAATCAATTTCTAAACGATCAATCTAACCCTATTAACTCCAACATATCATGACTCTAGGTTTTTTGGTTACGAAGAAGTAGTTTTAACAAGTTCAAAAACTTGTTTCAAAGCCAGCAAGCGTGATTTAAAGAAAACTGCATTTGGTATATCATAAAACAACCACATCAATTTTTTCTTGAACCTTCAAATGGCAACGTTACATTCCACTGGTCACAGTATACACAGACCTCCATTATTTTGCTTGGTCTCCGTTGGGGAAAGAAGCTGTTTTCGTACTTAACGAAAACTCATGCACTACCTCGGTGCTTAATTAATTTCTATCATAAAACGATTTTTGACTCTAATGTGATGTCATGATAAAATCGGCAAAATCTTAAAATGTCAACAGGAGAGAGAATGTTGCCGAGTTAAAGATTTTGCGTAGCAAAGCAAGTACTTTTACATTTTATACAAGCAAGAGTACCGCTGAGCAGTTCAATACACGACTATCCCAGACCAATGAATGTGTAGGAGTTGTTGTATCGAAAAGTATACAAATAAGGAAATGGCGAAAATACGTCAAATGGCAAGAGGAAAACAGTACAATATAACGATAAAAATGTTTTAAAACATGAAACAAACAACGGCAAAAACTCTTCAAAATTGTAATATCACAATGTAAAGAAAATGCCATTTCATGTCATGATTAAAAGTCAACCATGTTTCAGGTAAATTGGTGAAAAAATTAGGAAGGAGATATCCACTCAAACCCAAAATACTAAAAAAATGGACAAAAAAACTTCCCCTCAAAACTGTTGAATTAAACAAAACTTCGTGTCCTGGTATTTAACCCTACCAAGTTTGATAGAAATCAATTGAAAAAAGAGAGAGATTATCGTCGGAAAAGATCAACATTAGGGAAACAATAAAAGGCAAGACAAATACAGTCAAATCAAACGGTCATTCAAGAAAATACAACAATGGCATATCATGGTGATTAAGCTATAACGTTGGAATGAAAACTGAGAATGGAATGACAGTAATGTATACTATCTAACATCAATATAGAGTTTACTATGTCGTGTATTAGGCAATTTGCATCAGTATAACACACAGAGGTATCGTAACTAAAATTTCTTCCGCTTGTGTTAAACATGTGCGATTGAAACACTTGACACATACATATTAAACATCAATTACACTATATTATGATATAGTAGTCCGCGACAATGAAGTGCAGCTAACTAGCTACGATTAGCGACAGGAAGTTAAAATAAGTATACCACTTAAGACGCGAGATATGTTATACCAATCACAGAAACCTCAACACCAACAAAATGTGAGTGCGTATATAGGAAAGATACACTGATAAATAAAAACATTTATAAAAGATTATTAAAAAGTTTGTAAAACATAACAGTAACTGATATTCGGGGAGGTATCATTAATGTGCCTCATTTTCCACGAGGATATTGTGATTGAGCAAATACTAAAGTAAAACTATAGAAACATAATATATCCCAAACCATGCGCAAATTAGGATACACAGTGTATTTATGGGGGCGTTTACACGGAATTACAATCAAATAATTATTTTTCTGATAATTCTATCTAATGTGCATATCTATTAAAACTACGTACATTATAGCGCACTTTACTTTCAATGATGACATGAAACACCTGATCTTCTACTTTAATTTTTCAAGACTTTCCATGTAAATCTTCCGTTTGTTCATATTTTGCCTTGTGTTTGATTTAAGATTCTGTTAACATGTCGGCACATTCTTTGTTATATTAATATCCTGATGTGGAAGATTGCACCATTTTGTTGACCTCTGTTGAACTTTCTGCGACGAACTTTACATGCCGCACTTTGCTACACATCCTTGTATGAAGACTAAATTTTCTACATCAACAATCATTTCAAGCATCTTTTCACCTTTATATCCTAGAGGTCATAACTGCTCAGTATTTTTTTGCTTTCAAAAAGAAGTTACAAAAATAGGACTATTCAGGTTAAAATAGTATGTGTTGTAAATATAACATAATTTATAGTATGAACAAGATTAGTAAAAGACACAAGATTATCACCAAAATGATTGTAAAATATATAATACTTCATGTTAAAACACTTTGACGATTCAGCATATATATATATATGTTAAATAAATATAAAACAAATTTTAGAGTATTAACAAAACTGTTTTTGAAAAAATCTCGAAATTCGGTCCATATTTTCTAATTATATGATCACCTATATATCGTTTAAGGCACAATTATGAACATAATGTACAAATGCAATTGCACTGAAACCGTCAGACATTCTCCTATAACTTGGTGTGTTTTCAAGATTGTTTAGGTAAACTAGTGCAGATACATTCATCCGTCCTTGCAGTTGTCCATTTCACGGATCTCGCTACCGAAGGATTTTTTTGTTACTCTTCTCAATTGTACCCACCTCTCAATCGCTGTTATATTTCTTCTCCTCACTTCGCGTTCATCCCTCTATTCATCGAATATTTCTCATCAGCAATCGTCCTTTTCCTCGTTTCCGTACGCCCACGTTTCCAGCTGAAGCCTACATGATCTGAGAACGACCGCTATTCGTCGCAAGTCCTCCGACACCTGTGTCCTTGACTGCTTCGACAGATTCCATCCCGCGTGTGCGATTGAGCCTAAGTCTACTAGGACCGCGAGAGGAATGAGTATCGCAGAAATCATAGCAACACCTTGGAACGATACCCTCAGAACAGTCATTGGGATGACATAAAGGTGGTGTAAGGCCCGGATAAGCGTGCTGATTGTTGAAAAGATTGCAGAATCTACAGCCTGAAGGCTGTCATCGCGCAGAAGCTCTTTCACGTCAACTTCCATTGTCTTCACGCTCTCCGTAAATTCTGTTATAGCTGTCTGCAGTTCATCAGATTTAGCTTTAAGTAATGTTTGTTTGATTTTCAGAACATCAGTCGCCTTACTGCCGAGAACGACTTCTGTGATCTTTGACCCTGCCATTGTAGCCCCACCTACTCCGCCGACTGCAGCGCCTGCTATTGTAAGACCTAAGGACAAACCGCCAGTGAATGGTGCAGCAATCACTCCAGCCACTGCTAGCCCCGTTCCGACTAGACCCGTGGAGCCACCTATTATGGTAGCAATGTTGACGCCAAAACGGCGATTTTCAAGTTCTGCAACAATCTGATGGCATATCTTTTCTGTCTCCTCACTCACCTGTAGCCATGTGTTTAAAGATATCCGTAGTTTGGTAAGATACATATCAACGTTTCGTGTTACGAGCAAACCTCTTGTATCTGTGTAAAAAAAGATAGTTTCATGAAATTTATGAATGCAATCATTCCAGATTTCATGATTAAATACCTGCTAGAAACTGCCTTACATGTCATTTCGTTTTAAAAGCAGCAAAACGTTTATGGCTGTAAAACATTCCCAAAATGGGCAGATAGTGCTAACAAGATGTTTGCTTTCGAGTTTTACATCTTACGGACATTTACTTTCCAGACAATTGTAGTTTTAAACTATGGACATGATATACTGTCATGTCTTGGATGTTTACCTTCAAAATAAATTGACAAAGATATGAGAAATATTGAAATCAATGGATGTACCCTCACGAAATATTTGTAAAACACTAGACTGTTACATCAATCTGACATTTACCATGCCCATTATCACGGAATCCTTGATTGAGTATCCTTTACATTGAATACATATTTCGGAGATCGAGGAGGATATATGTATTTGTATGCATTTGTTTTGTGTAGTTATAATCATCAAAGAAACCATTGCTTTTACCTACCGATGCTCTGATTGGGAACATCAAGCCTAATTTGACTGGGATCTAGGGGACCCGTCTCCGCATCTTCGGGAAGCATCATTGCGCAATTACATAGCTCGTACTTTGGAACCACTCGATCGTAATGGCCAGCAGAGCTCTTGAACAATGAAATGTAATATCGCCCGCCGGATGGACATATTTCCCGACTGCGTTTGTCACAACTGTGTGTGGTGTAGGCTTTCTTCATAACATTCCAGGAAAAATGTCTCCAAGTAAAACTGTTCAGATCATTAGCATCTCCTCGTCCCAGTACGTAAATGGAAGTTGCAAATACAACACTTGCAAGATAAATTTCCTCATTTTCTGCATTTCTAAGGTCAGTGATTCTTTGCTTAAGTTCATCCAAAGTTAACGGCGATCCTCCCAACAATGAAGCCAGTTCTTTTAAATCATATTCCAGCTCGGAACGTGATTCCTCTATTGCATTCAAAAGACATTTACGGATAAGTCCAAATTGTTCCTGCGTTCCGAACAGCTCCTTGCTGAGACACCTATAGAAAGAATGCGAGTCCTCATAAACGGAATCAATAAACCGGGCCGACATGTCTTGACGTTCGTGCAGGACCCTGTAACTTTCAGAGAATTGACGTGCTAGCAATGGTTTCCGTGTCTCACACACAAACTGTTCATTACTGAACTGTGACGGTAGACGTCGCTTTAAGGTCATGTGATGATTCGTTTCAGAGATCTGGACGATACCGGGATGTTGTATTTCTCCTGAAACAAAAGTCACTCAAATAAACCGACAGTGTAAGAAAGATTGAAAGTAGTGTTGAAATATCAGAAATGGTCCCACAATGTGTACAATACTAAAACGGAGTTGATAAAGAATATTATAGCATGTTTAAAGGCATTAAAATTGAGTGAATTATGTAGTTAATAATTGTGTGATGTGTAATAGAACGGCCTCTACCTTGTGATTCTTATGTACAGCTCTTATATAGAGGTTCTCCATTTAGTTCAATTTTTCATTTATTGTATGTAGGTAAAATATTTCTCATTTAAGAAACAGAATTTTGATAGTAATATCTGAGAGATAATACATTTTTTGCTGCATTTTGTTTTTCTAGTTCATAATGTCGCAAGTATTTTCCAGTAAGATATTTAAAATGTGACGACTGCTTCAAATCAGTTCATCTCAACCTTTAATCAGACACGTCCTCATATGATTTTGGTTAAGGTGTTTTTATCATATCACATAAAGTACAATATCAAAAATTTAACCTTGACATCTGTTCTGTGCTAGCGATCCCGACCTATAAAAAGTTGACATGACATTAGAGTCTGATCAACTTTATTTCATATCGTCGTCGTAACAAATGCACATGTATCACCATACCTAGTGACCTTGGCCTATCGCCAAGTGAGATCTCGTTTCTGGTTTACGATGCTTTATGGTGTCATAACACAATATTTACCATTAAAATATGTTTATTTGACTCTTGTCAACCTAACCTGTAGACGAGAGACTCCTCATTTGATTTCAGTCAGCTTTGCTTCATGTCATAAACGAATATTTATCGGTACCATGATCATATATGGTAAAATCCTGTGGTGATGTTAGTAGCAGTAACTTTGACATTATATCTCTATAAATCGCTACTGTCCATCTACATATCAATGTTTATCGTCATTTAAACTTTGAAAGTTTGGCCTTCTTGATTCTGCAATAATCTCCGGAATCGAAGGTGATAACGGAGAGACAGATGGGCGGAGGGACATCGTTATTACTCTAATCTGTATGGGACACTCACATTTCCATGCGGGGTTTTAATAAAGGGAAATCGAGAAACATATATATTAAAATGAAGTTATGTTGTTTACTTCGCAACGACGCAACAAAAAAAGAATGGAAATATTTACCGTATGTTTCCACGAAAAGTGGGATAGGCGACATCAGCTGGCAATTGCAACCACTGATTGGAATGACCCTGTCGTATTTCCGGCTCCGTATGTCAAAGAAGAGTGTGATGTAGTAACGACAGCCAAGGGAGTGTATGAAGTCGGCCTCGAGTTCAGATCTCGTAGGATGGTAAGAGCGCCACTGGTATTGCACCCGATCGTTACCATCTGCCTGTGTGAAGATATATATAGAAACACTTAACCAATCAGCTAAGGCCTGAACAATCTGTCCTTGTTCCTGTTCTCTCATACTTATTCGTGGAGAATCCCCGACTTCATTGACATCTGCCCCCAAACCAACAGAACATCTGTCTCGAATGGATTCAAATTCCTCCTCCGTACCAGATACCTCTTTGCTTATGCACCGAAATAATGTGGAATCGTACGCTTCGATTTTCTCCAGTTCTCGACCTTCTGACCGAAGAAGTTTGAGAACGTTTCGAACGCTAGACGGTGGATCTGTGAATGGATTCCTTCTCGCCTTTGTGGGCCTCTTCCGTCCGGTATTGTCCTTGTGTGATAGGTGAAGATGTCCTTCACAACACGGTACCCTCCTGGCTACAAGAAGACACAGCATATCAAAACAAAACAAATGTATTTCATACATCGTACCTCAGTGGATATATTTCAAAACGAGCTGTAAACATTAAGTAAGAATCATTGTAATCATCATTGTCCAGGTAAGGATAGAGTAATTGCGTGTAAATTTCCTGGCGTGTACGCGCCGCAGAATTAAAGAGTTGAATTGAAAACCTCCCAATAAAAAGGTTCGTTTGCGAATTTCCAAGAATCTTATTATATATATTTGATAATTTATAATTACATGAACGGATATTTCATACGACTGGTGTCGGTGTAATACTTACCCAGTACGTCTCGCGTAATGCTGTCTATCTGCTCCTTTATCGTTAATAAGTTGCCAGGAACCTTTGGCGCTGCCTCTCTTAAATTGTCACCATTGGTAGCAAATGACAGATCAATGGAATACGTCTCGGTTATATTAGCACATTTTAATGCAACAAATGAATCCATTGGCTCCACGCTGCAAAACCTATTTCTGATAGGTGGATATATTTCCCACGTGTAGGCTCCGTTTGTGAAGCTTTGAACATATACATAAGCGTTTAGAAGACTTGCCGCAGCGAACATCTCGGTTTTTGTTGGTTTGCTTCCTTCCTTTTTCATTTTCAAAATGTGATCTTTCATAGCTTGTTCTTTTTCCGAATCCTTGTCTGTGATAATAGCTGCAAAAACATTGATACTATCTTCCTCTTCCTCCAGTGCAAATAAAATATTTTTCACTCGTTTCCAATGGTCACAGACACCATACATTTCCTGGCTCAAACACTGGTAAAATGTATCTATTTCTGTATTTGGCTTCCACTCGCTTGCATCGGGGTAGCTTGTGTCAGCCACGGAAATAGGTGACAAAAATATTTTGTTGGAAAACCTATTGCCATAACAACGCCTGGGTACGTCTGTCCTCTGATAGATGATTTCATGTGAAAGTTGATCATCCATGGCATCTGTGCTTTGATTGGAAGCGTTATCCATACTCTGATTGACGGCCCCATTTATGGATTCATTGTCCACTCCTAATAGCGGTTTGAATGCGTGAAAGATTGCCTTGTGTCTTTTAAGCAGGATCAACATTTTGAAACTTTGCTTTGTTTGTGGAGTAACTCGCCCAAGTACCGGAACAAAAAGTCTCCACTGCAGCGTGGGCGAAATCGACTCCTTATCGCTATAGTTACACACCAATGCCTCTATCGGACGTCCAATAAGTTCGCACGCAGCATATATCTCACGTGCAGTGGGGGGTGTACTATCATAATTTCTTTTTTTAACATCATCCAAAAATTCCTCTTGATAACTTTTCTTTTGCGAACCAGTATTGGAAGATTGGTTCAGAAACAATTCAAAATATTTAATATTTTCTGGTTCAGTTTGAAACGTACATATTCGTTCTCTACATTTCGAATGTCGCTTTGCCTCCCCATATAGTAAAATGGAAATTATTCTGTAAAAGTCATCCTCCTGATCGTCTACGTCATTCGCATTAAGTCCTTTCTCCTCCAACTTCTGGAATAAGGCGTCACCCAAATCCATTTTCTACACAAACTAATAAACAAACAAAAACAAAAACCTAAAGATATTGTTAACGACCGATTGCAAATATTGACGAAAGGTGGAATACACATTGCAATAAAACTTCGAGCTTACCATGCAACAAATAAGAATGAAAAATCTCACAATAGTTTCTTCGCCAGCAGTGAGTTAAAGTCATTTGTAAGCGGTGAGGTTTTATCAAAATCCTGAGAGAAATGAAGCCGCTAGAGCGCTGATAATGATTTTCTATCAATAGTACGAGATCAAGATATTATTATTATCATTAATATGTAGGTATTTCAAATCATGTAAAGTTTGCTGAGAATCCCTCAAGGAATGAAGGCACTGGAATGATGATAATGCATTTCCAAAGCAAAAGACCGTGACCTTGACTCAACAACCGTGAAACTCGAACTTGTCCACGATATTCTGAGTAATTGTAAGTGTGGTTTGATCAAAATCCCATAACGGTTAAATCCTCTGAACACTGATTTTCTAACAGCGAGATCGACCGATCAGCTCTGAAACTCGCATTTGCCAAAACAAGTAAGTTTGACGAAACCTTTAATACATGATCCGTTAGAGTGGCGACAATGATTTTAAGAATAATAAAAATGATAACAGCGATCCTGACTTTGATCCAATAACCCTAAAACTCGAACTTGTTCAAGATATTTTGATGATTCATAAGTGTGTGAAGTTTGGCGAGAATCATTCAATGAATGAAGCCGCGAAAGTGTTGACATACAAATATACTGTCATAGGCGGACGTAAGGACGCAGGGACGGACAGACGGAAGGAAACCTTAAGTTCTCCAACCATCCCTAACCACACCACCATCCCCCGGTTCCACCAGTCGGGGACTTATAAGATCAGACAGATAATGCACTCTACTATACATCGGTACATTAAGTATAGCTAAAACGAAAGTACAAAGCCTCGAAGGGAAACTCGTATATATTCATATTGCATGCATAGAATTCATCAGTATTTATAATACGTGATACGAAAGATAGTTTCATACTATTTGCAATTTAATGGTGCAATAGGTATCAACATACTTGTAATCTCCTTCGCCATACATCACTAACTTAACACGTTGTTATGGTTTCTGTCTAATGACCGTCGCGCTAGTTGTACAATAATAATGAGCTCCGGTCAGTGAACAATGTGTAATTATTCATTACAGTTTTTAAAGCCAGTAAAAGAACCAACTAAACACAGTGTGTCGTGTTATACATCATACACCGACAGGCTACACGTTAACTATAGAAAACTATCTTAAAACGGTTTACGCCCCACACTGGTCAACACACAACACGACATGGTGTTAATATCTGCTTCATGTAAAGACATTGTTGTGGCCACCTACCCGATGCATGTGTCCAATCCTCATTACAGAGTATTATTCGGTTAATGTCGATGTCACATGATAAAGCTGAACTTGGATCCGATATGACGTGTATACGTCTCTACAAGAATCTATAAACAAGATTGTCCAGCCATACCACTTCCGCATATTTGATTCGTCAACCAATTGGCGTTATCTCCCTTTAAACGTGTAATGTGTTCGTACAAATCCTATCGGCACACGAGATGCATATACTGACTCATGACTTAATCAGATAAATATATTGGTTTAAAACACACTGGAAGAAATACAATTACCCTCCAATACCTTATTTAAGAGGAAGCATACTCCAAAGACACGGTATAAATTCGGTTCCCTGCTTTAACTGAATAATCACCTCCTAGTTTGTTTGTTTTTTTTACTTTGGTGTGGTAACTGTATTATGCAGGGATTTTGTATTTGTGGATATGTCATTACGTCCTCCACATTTTCATTTTTCATAGGCTGCTTCTAAATTCAAGATCGCTTTGAAGAATACTTGGTAAACAACAGCGTTGTCGACGAACAACCTAGTCGACGACCAATATAGATTGGTGATGTAAAGAAATTAATCAAAGATTCTCTGACCTGTAAGGCTGACAATAGTTTGTCAGATTGAACTCAAGTGTGAACATATTCTTTCATGTTATAGTGATGAAATTTGTGGGATGAATTTAGTTGACTTGAACAAGATTGTTACTTTGTTTCTGTACAGATTATTGACACATTTGTCTGATTCGGGAGCTTACGGCTATATGTTGTAACAGGTCTGGCATTGGTCTTCAGCGGTCCTCATCAGGTTATGAAAACACTTCACAAACACCATAAGACATTTCAATTTGTTTTAATAATTTTGTATTATGTAGAGTGATGCTGCCCCTCTCATACATCACTCATACTGTCAGAAGTCAGTGTGGTAGTAGACAATCATGAACTGCGTAGACATAATTACTTATAATGACAACACAGATCCTCAATGAATTAGAATATAATTCCTTATATAGGCATGTCTGTAACAGCTACTTTACGCTGAACTCTACTGGTTGTCAGTCTTTTGGCGACGTGACAGGAAGGTCTTTCGCGCTCCCTTTTATACATTTTTCACCAGATCACATGATCATTCTCAGTCAATCAAATCTCTTCTCACATCCATTCTCACAAAATTTCCTTTCCCTTGCACATTACAAATCCAGTATTTTTATAGTTACAACTAATGAAATAATGCCCTCTTCTTGTCCTTTTCCCTAATTTCACATTCAAAATTTATCTGGATAATGGAGAAAATTGAAGATATAATATAATATAAAATACAAGCAGAAATAGCAGACGATACGCGTAATGTTACTCATATAATATCGTGATATGGCAGAACAATATGTAGTTCTGATGATGATAATTATCACAGTATAACAAGACTCGCAGATAATAGTTAAATGTAAACCATATTCCTATAATACATACTTTATATAACGGACATAGAAATGCTTATGTAATGATAGCTTCTTATGGTATTCACTGAATCGGCAACTCACTTCCGGTTTACAAGCAGCTTCACAATCGCTGAATATAAAAAAAAACCAATAAAACAAGTTCTCGATGGCGGTTGGGTCTCGACGTAAGTTAAAACCGTAGTTATACCGCGTCAGTAGCTTCATCTTTAATCCCATTATGGAGAATTCTATGGAAATTATGATGAGAACTGGTCACATTACAACACAAAGTCGACACAATTTTATAGCTTACTTGAATGTCCCTTACAAAAGGTTATACAAATTTACTAAAGTATATGTCAAAGGACAGATTTCAGTTTTCAAATTTATCTAGTACTAGTACTTCTACAGTCATTTTTCAGTAAATTTTGGTTTTAGATTGACTGTCTGGGCCAACTGCTTTCACGTTAATTAAGGATATTCATTATCATGCCTGAATTGCTAAAGATGGCGTTACTTTGAAGTCTGCAGTAGTGATTGAGTCAGCTTACAACACAAGTCTAGACTGGTATAATAGTACAGTTATTTCCAACCTAACCGTAGACAGGTGATCAACGTGAAGAGTAACTTCATAATATCCAGAAGTACAAGGAATCCCGTTATTGTAGTTATAGCTGAATATTGATTAAACGAGACATTGTAACAGCTGGTGAGTAAATTACCTCAGTTAATTATCTGTATCATATGTTACTTCATCAAACATAACTGACTGTAGTGCATTTCCTTTCCTTATACCTCTCGCTTACTACAACAACAAGGTATTCATGTCCAACAATGATTTGTGATGATAGTGAATGCTTACAGGAGTTACGAATACTTTTATTCTAATTCTTGTATTATTTCTGAAGCCCGTATACAGCAATACTATTTAATAGTCGCTGCCTGTGTAAAATTTAAAATGCTAGTATATGTTGAACTGGTAGAGTTTAAAAATGTCATATCCGACAATGTTGCCCATTCAGGAAGTACATCAAATCGGAAGTATATCATTCCCCAAGTGTTCACTGCCACAGAAACGACGATTACACACAACACGTTCAAAAACCAACCGACCTTGACCTAAATGAAAAAAGGGAAAATGCAACATACTACAGGTGATATTTCACTGTACATAAGAAGGCTACAGTATTTATGTAATCTGTCAATATCTAAACGACATCCCCCCCAAACTTTCAACTCTGTATAACATATGCTTCACATTAACAGCACCTCATCAGATCAGCATTGACGAAAGATAGAGGCAAGTACCAGTGTGACAACGGTTCAGTGTCTCGTATACGTTTTAAAAATCCATAAATCATGGAACAGTTTTACATTACATGTATGAAAACCGTTTCTATAATCCTAAATAATTCTAAAGTATTCGTTGGACAAACCGATAGTATTTTGTGGGGTTGAGACAGATTATGTATACACACCATGTCTATAATCCTAAAGTATCCGTAGGACAAACCGATAGTATTTGTTGGGGTTGAGACAGATTAAGTATACAAACCATGTCTATAATCTTAAAATTCCGTAGGAGAAAGCGATAGTATTTGGTGGGGTTGAGACAGATTATGTATACACACCATGTGTATAATCCTAAAGTATTCGTTGGACAAACCGATAGTATTTTGTGGGGTTGAGACAGATTATGTATACAAACCATGTCTATAATCTTAAAGTATCCGTAGGAGAAAGCGATAGTATTTGGTGGGGTTGAGACAGATTATGTATACACACCATGTCTATAATCCTAAAGTATCCGTAGGAGAAAGCGATAGTATTTGTTGGGGTGGAGACAGATTATGTATACAAACCATGTCTATAATCCTAAAGTATCCGTAGGAGAAAGCGATAGTATTTGGTGGGGTGGAGACCGGTAACATGAAGGCAAAAGACGTAGAAATAGCAGCTGGAAGCATGAAGAATATCGGATTGATGCCGACTCCTTTCCCCTGGAAACATAATAGCATTATAAAGAGTGTTAACATTGTAATACACTGTAAGTAAGTTTGAAACTAGCAAATTAAAAAATATACAATAAGCCAGGCAAACGTGTAGGCATGCTGGTCTTTTGACACATCAGTAGCAATAACAGATTTAAATAACATGAAAAAGTGATGGCCCGATCCCTCTGTATGGGGTGATTTTTAAGTCTTCCTAAGTCACAAAAGACGGATTCTAGATCTTCAAATCAAAACACAAAGTCAAACACATATACACATAAGCAGAAGAACTGAGTGGGAGAGAACATGTATACTAAAACAAAGGAGTAAATGTATTATAGATCTACTCTGTCAACCCTCCAATGATCAATACATAAGGTAAGATGACATTGCCAACAAAACTGATGGCACGTACCATTATACATATAAAACAAAGCAGACCATTAAAAAGGAGACATCTTATAATTATATAATTACCAGATCGGCCAGGATAGGCATAAATATACTGCAGATAGCGATGTTACCGGCAACTTCTGTACAAAGGGAGCAGATCAAACAGACAATGAATACCAATATCCAAGTGGGAACGCCAATTAACGCAGTCATCTGGTGGGCGAGCCACAGCGAAAGTCCTGATTCCTGCCAACAAAAACATATATTTTGTAACACGTAAATAGAATCAATTGCTAAAGAAGTGGTTCATTATATTAATGACATGTTAAATGAAAAGTATGCACTGATATGATAGCATGTATGTTTTGATGGTAGAGTAATAAAAAACGTTGCTCTTGTTCATCTTATTACAGTGATCCTTACGAACTATAGAAGATTGTACAAAAACAAGCTGTACATGCAGCATTAAGTGTCACTTCATCCCAAACACGAGTAGTTTCAATGGTTTTGATAAGAAATTATATTCTATACATAAAGAAATACTTACCTTACATGCGTGCGCAAGAGCAAACCCGCCACCAATAAGTAACGTCACTTCCCAAGGAAACTTTTTATTAAATGTTTTCCAGTCCAGTAAGTTCGCACGTGACGGATCTGTGACGTAAATATTATATAATTGGTATCGCAACAACATTCATTATCGAAAAGCTTCGTTGAATGGTGCACGAAAACAGTACCTAAGAATGTTATGTCTTGACGTGTGTAAAGGATTCAGAAATCAATAAAAGCAGATGTGCTAACGAAAGAGGTATATCAATAATGTACCAACGTTATCTCTTAAGCGAAATAATTAAATTGAGGAAACAATGTGAAATCACAGTCGAGTTACATAACCACACCATACTACTCACTTGTCTCTTGAGGGTCAATGAAAAATGGCAATGTTGTGTATACTTACACTCCATGTCGATAGTTAATCATCCAAACAAATCAGACACTACGAAAATGTGAATGAACCCTTTTTTATGCTTTCCGTGTAGTTCCGTCAGTATTTCCTTGTTATAAATCGGGCAATATGTCACAAAAGGTGATTTAAGATACAGTTACCTTGATTATGACACATAAAGAAACAGGCAGTCTACCAGGTAATCTATGTCCAAGTCTGTGGGATACTCACCATCATTCTTCTCTATCCCGCTCGGAATGACGAACAGTAGAATAGCGATAAACATGGCTGGTACTGCACCACTCAGATATCTAGGTATGGAGAGTGTATAATACAGTGTGTTTTACAATAAAGTCAACTGCCATTTCATTATTTTTGCCACTCGGTTATGACTGTTTCTCTGCATATCAGGTAACTGATTTCCACTTTCCTAACTTCCCTATTTGACGCATAAACCTTTTATCCCAAACATCCAAGAACAATTCTATAGACAATTGTACTGCTGAATTGCCATGTACTGTAAAATTGTTGTGTTTTTCTAACGATGCTAGTCAGATATCTGGGTACTGCAATCACATGTTAACATTAGTTTTAAAAATGGATGCCTCGATAGTTGATACACTTGTGTTGTAATAAAATAATAATACAATTCTTCTAGAATTTGTGACCTAGTCGGCAATGGCAGCAGGACCTTACCCGACACGAAATAAGAACCCCCAGCCTTGGAAGAATTCTGGATTTATCGTGAACCATGCAAGGACCAGTGCCACAAGGTGTAACAACACTGCTTTCTCCGGGAAACTGAAAGAAGAAAATTCTTTGTGAATGTATTTTTGGTATACAATATTTGTCCAAGTGCAAAATAAATCATACGTAAGTAATTTACATAGACATCAAGAGAAAGCAATACATTTTTAAAAACGAAACAAAAATCTTTATATTATTTATACAAGTACTCTCAACAAGAGAAAATATTAACTCATACAATCAGCATCATTAGAATGGTGATGATTTAATCATATGCACCTCATCAACTTTACTTCAACATTGTAAATATATTGGTCAATTTTCATATACCTCATTCGTCTCCAGACTCCTAACATTACTGAGCTAGAGGAAAGATAACTACTGTTTGATGTAGGGTAATGTTTGAAACGTTTTCGAAAAGTAATACATTATTTGTAAGCATTACCTTAAGTTACCGAGCTGATGATACTGCTGCTTAATATACCGTTTAACCCTTTCGCTATTTCCAGTGTTACGGGACCGAAATAGAGATCTGGAAAACACCAATTCGATATGTGTGACGGGCATCAATCTTCATTAAATCTTAATAGAGGATATGTACACTGGTATTCACTGCTACATGCTCCATGTACACCATCATAACACACTGGAAGACAGTTCTTATCAAAGAAACCGTAAAAGAGTATTCACTTCTTCACGCTTCTCGTTCACTGAAATGACATACTGCAAGAAAAGATATTTCATCAGAGCTCACAGAATAGACTACTGTGTCCTTCATAGTTTTTATTTTCTATGTATTGTTTGTTTATGGAAAATACCATTGTGTCCTCCGTCACTATCATTTTCTAATTTTCGCTGTTTTAATCCAAGTTCGGAAAACAAAAACATTTACAGTTCTCAAGACTAGGTACGTACAGTGTCAGAAAATGGTAGCGTCACTTTTAGAGCGTACATGTATATACGTGAATGTCAAACAGTAAAGCAAGTGTTGTTTAACGTACTTTCTGAGTGTGTGTGTGTGTGTGTGTGTGTGTGTGTGTGTGTGTGTGTGTGTGTGTTAAACAGCAAATCAAGTGCAGTCGAATCAAAGTCAAGCTATTCGTAAACCCCGTTTTATTCGAAGTATTTCTTCTGTCCGAGCCAAACGTAATAAGATTAACTCGACTGCACTTGGATAATTCGAAGTTTCCACATAGTCCCCCTGATTAAAGATAATGGCGTCCGACTTTTTTTTTATTAAGTTAACTTGTATTGTGTATCTGCCAAATAAACTAAGTTTTGTTTCGATTAATAACCAAAGAGTAATCCAGTAAAAATCTTTCAATTGATTTTTTACCGCACTTTGCACTCTTGAGATCAAGCAATGCTGATAAGGTTACATACCGTATTCCGAAGAAGAAAACTTGTAGACACAGCCATGCCAGCAGAACGTTGATGAGGGCAACAGGAAAAGAAAAAACAAACCACGTGGCGAACGTTATTCCGGACTCGCCATCCGATATCCTAAAAATAAAATAAAACTGATTTAGTAAACTTGCTAACACAAAAAACGTTTTTACTGTAGTGTCAGAGATTAGATATGGCTATATTAAGCAAAAGAATGATGCATTGATACAGCTGTGGGTAACGTTTACGTAAAAGAACGTTAACGTGTTTTTGCACTTTCACAACATTTGGTATTTAAGAACTTAAAGAGACCTTATCAGGAAGTCCACAACAATTTTTACTTTGCATGTCGCAATCGGCAACAGTACGGCCTAGATTGTCCCCATGGTACATGGGACGAAGTGAACACTGAATAGAATGGTCAGATATAGACACCGCGTTCCAACCCATCCCATCCCCCTTACACACATAATGTCCTTACAGATCAGCGTGTCCCTTCATGACAAGGTTAGTTCCGGTTCCTGTCAATGTGGCAATTCCTCCACAGTTTGCAGCATAACAGATGGCGAGCATTGTAGCCTTGCAAATGCTCTGAGATTCCTCGTCTAGAGCGTCAAAGTCAAACTCTTCAGTTGTCTTGGTTGTAATATTTAAAGCACAAGAACTACAATAAGAAATGCTTATATATATATATATGTAATACACGCTTACAATATATCTATATACAGACATATGATGCAATCATATCAACGCAATCGAAATTACATACCCTACATCGTTTTCAGTCGTCTTATCTAGGTTCAGTTCCACGCTTGACACATCAGAAATAACAGCGTCACCTCCGTTAGCTCTGCACGTTGTGTCTTTGTCTGAAACGAACAGGAATAATAATCTCAACCATGATGTATATGCCACGACCATACCAAAATGCCGTTACTTTTTTCAGTCTGTGACTGCAGAAAGAGTTGTTTGAATTCAGCCATTGTGAAGTCATTTGCGTTGAGACTGTAGACAGTCAGTAGTGACAGCAGATTATTAACATCTGAAAAACATTTACGAATAAACACATGGCAAAGCATATAAACAAAAAGTAGAACTTGAGATTTGTAACACAGTCCCCCTAAAAATGTACATGAACAGCCCAAGATATTTTTAAAAATAAAAATGAATAAGACACAAGAACACAGATCACATTGAATCCGCAGCTACATTCGTATAAACAAGAGAATTATGGAAATGTGGCATTCGGGAACGTAATGTATAAAATGAAAGTATAAGCAGACCACTGCAAACCCTTGATATTTCTGAACTGTACGCTTCGAAGAGCTCTTCCTGTTTGATGCTGGGGGGGAAATTAAGATTAATGCTAATACGTCAACAGAATTATAATCAAAACTCAAATTTTAAAAAGCTAGGATAAAAGGATAACAGGACAAGGTGAGCGAGCGTCTTCTGCTTCATTGACGACACCCGCCATGTAAACCTCAGTCAACTCGAGTAAGTCATTTACGCCTCTTGATGAGAATAACGAAACCAACAGTTATATGCTAACGAACATCAAACAATTTCAACTTCATGTCGCAAAAAGAAATATTTCTCAATGACATTATTGTGATGACCTTAAAAGTTTTCCACCTATTTCATCAAGCTCGGTCTCGCGAATTCATGTATTGTTATTTTTTCTGTCAATTGCTGACATTTGATGAATTCAGCCTCGTATAAAAACAACCCTGATTTGAAAGTACTAAGAACGTTTTATTTAAGGTTTCGTTGAACGACTAGACGAGCCAGCATTAAAGCATTGGCTATATGGATTCTTGCGAAGTTTAGAAATCAGATATAAACAAGGGAGGTCTGTATCCTTTTCATTAATTGGCAATCTAAATAATTGTAATACTGAAGCGTGATTAGCGAGCATTTCGTCGTTGGAAATGTTGGATAATATATCGGTAAAATTTCCTCCAGTATCGAGCAAACCTTGTTATTTTTGTATACAGGAAAATGAAAACTAGAATCAAATGATTAGAAACCTTATCATCAGGCACAATAACATAAGAAAGGATTTAATCCACTCTGAAAGTGAATCAAACCCAGCGTGTTTTCATTTCATCCACTCTCTTGCATAATCACCGTGTATACCATAAAAATGTTGAAATTCACATTCCATTTAATAGTAAGGACTTTATTTGTATTTCAGAACTTTCATGAAAATCTTTCATTGCTAAACGTTTCAGATAGTGCTTAGATCGCCAGCTACTGTGTGTCGAGGTTGACCATAGAGGATCGTACAAGGAGAAGTAGAACAAGATTGTCGTAGACTTAGATCTTATGACAGTGTTTGTTTGTAAATGAAAATGTTAGACGCAATAGACATGGAACCGCTTGTTATCTCTCGTATAACTGGTGTACGAAGGATATCAAATCAGGTTTGGGCTCAGACCGTCCGTTCAACTCATCTCTACTGAACTATATACATATATTAGGTCAGTCATATAGTTGTGCTTTTCTCTATTGGCAAGATTTCAGCTGTGCTGTTTCTCTGTAACCACAGAAACATATCATCAGAAATACAAAATTTACAGTTCCCGAACTTTTTCCGGATGCCTCTCAAAAACTGAATTCCATAAAATTTGGTAAAGTAGTGCCCAAATTGTTCCTTTTGGTATTGGTGAGATTTCAGTAACGCAATAGTCTTCGTTTCCTTTACAACCGATCAAGATAACAACAAACACAGGAGATCTACATTAAAATATTAACTCATACTGTAAGATTGATTCATACACGTTTTTTATACCGTCGCTGGGCAAGGGAGATAATATGTTTTACGTCTCTTTATCTTTCAAAAGACCTGAAACGGTGATATTACAAAACGACACGCGACACCATCAAAGCATTAATTATTTAGAAATGTTACGTCATACTAATGTTTCGAATATACTGAAAGGATTACACCTTGTCATGTATCGAAAATTTAGTCACGGTACAGTGCGCAGCTCTGGTAAATGGAGGAAGGAAAAAACAAGAATCTCGTGCACTGTGTTGTTCTGGTCTCTGGTTCTTGGACAAGTCACTCTTCGTTAGTCTTTATACAGACCAACTGTTTCCCTAAAATTAATTGATAATTTGATTCGTTTTAAGAATGGCACGACAGTTCGATTTCAATTTCAAAATCCTATGGGTCCATTCAGTTTAATCGTTAGTACCTCTAAACCAATTGTCAGATGCAAAATACAGACTTTGGAAATTTTTAAGCTTTAATTTATCTGTAAGTATATAAAATTCCGTTTTAAATGAAGCCCGATATCATACTTAATTTCTGGTTTTCTGCGTTTCTCTATCCTTTTAGTATATATAGGAATTCTCGGAAAATGGAACTGTCTCATTCATGGAGACGAACATCATAGTTTTGTCATGCCTGTATCTGTAATACGGTGGTTTACTGGTCTAAGCCATATGTGTTAACCTACCATCATTGTATAACGCAGTATATACCTGTTTCGGGACCTGTAAGTTGTGTATCGCCAGATGACGTTTTGTTGGACAGGAGCTGCGTGAGCACTGCTTGTGCTATAGGAACCATCATGGCGGTTGTTGGAATGTTCAGCAACCACATAGACAGAGAGAAGGTAGCCAGCATAAATCCTAGCATCAACCTGGAGAGTTCATAGTTCATCACACAGGGTTCGGAAGGACAAGGAAGGACATACAACCATGTTAGTATACATTAAAGAATTTGACTCGGTCCAGACCCTGTGAGGACAGGTTAGGACGTAACATTATAGGGGACGACGCAGGCCTTGAGAGGACAGGCTAGACTCGGAAACAAATAGTTATAAATTGAACAACTTAGCTTTATACATTGAGGGTAGGAGACAGGATAGGACTATCGACCTGAAAATTATATACAGAAACGATAAATCGGTTTCAGGTTTGGAAGAACTCGAACGTATGTTAATAACATGTGGAACATGGAGGAATCGGCGAAATCGACACTATGATATAGTAGAAAAGTATTGAGGATTAGAACCATAAACTAAGTTGACAATATGTTATTATGAGCACATGACGATGTCGACATCATAATGTTATGATATGATATATATGTGTGTATGTAGAAGCATACATTCTGGATTTTAAAGACGTTCAGTTAGGGCTTTATATCATTTTTTCCGTTTATCTCTTTGTTATGACATCAAATCTCGAACAGCTTAATTCATAGTAATTTGCATAGTAAATATAATTACTAATGCCAGTTAATGTTCTATTTCAACCAATCTAAAGTCTCGGTTTTGTTGCTATGGGCGCCATCTTGGAAGAAGTCGTATATAGTTTGCACATCTGTAGGCCTTTAATATCCATCTGTCAAATATGTAGGCAAATTTTCAGTAGAGTCGGATTTTGATCTCTAAGAAACAATGGGGAGAAACTATAATGATTATGTCACTAACGGATCACGTGACCTTTGTCTGAATGACCTGTGGCGTCAATCTCATGCGACCCATCCGCAATGCAACAATCTGTTAACCAGATAAAAGCATGAATGACCAATAAGAACACAAATCAATGCTGACCTTTGACCTTCGACTCTGAAGAGCAATCCAATGAAATCCGTTCATGATCATACACTCATAACAGAGAAGCTGTTGCGCGGAAAAGAAAGTTTTATTGTCAATCTATTTCAGTAACAGATCTTATAATCGTATTTGGCTAAAAAAAAACAATTACATGTGTTCTTTCCACACAAGCCATCTGTTTACCAAATGTGTTTATGATCGGCTATAGATAAGAACATGGGTTTTTACGTGCATACAAATGCTGTCACTTATCTAGTTATATTTACCACATTGGTGTCGTTCCAAATATCAGCAGCAAACGCAAAGCGAACCGTTTGTGGACATTCCATCTTTCTATTGCTATGGCAACAGTTAGGGCTCCAATCAAATTAAAGATGGTTGGCTGTAAGAACAAATTTATCTTAAGCAACTAAAGTTTGAGTTAATTTGAACAAAACATGAAATATCATGTTTGTGTTGTCCATTCTTATACACATCTCGAAAGATAGGAAAGAAGTGTATCAGAAGCATAGTTAAGTATTTTACAGTAGATGAATATTAAATCATTATTAACGGGATTCAATTATTTGTCCATACGACTAACGTTTTTTTCTAAATCTAATTATTGATGATACCAAGCTTGATTCTAAATAATGATACGTTATAACAATTCATTTTATCGCTGTTTACATCTACACATGAGTAAATAATATTGAGAGATTTGGCCTGGTACCAACTTCTGTTTTCGGCAAGAATAAAGGGGTGAAAGATTTTATTAATCTCACACCGGTAAAAAGTGTGGATTTACCTGTCCAGGGTAAGAGAAATAAGCAATGAAATGTTATGAATAAGGAAAAAACTCATTCTTGCTGTGAAGATATCACGCTTACTTAGTTACTGACACGAGGGTAAACGTAATGAAAATGCTGGAGGTGGACAATGAGATCCGAGGACAAAGCTGTGATATTATTTGAAACAAAACATGAATCTTTCAACAGGTCAATATCAGATGTGTTAATGGTTTCTCAACTTAATCGACTCATTCGGTTCGTCGTTGAGTTTTTTTTTTTTCATTCTTTCTCTTTCATGGTGATTAAACTGTAGTCTTACTATGTCACGATAAACATTCTATCAAAAAAGATTGGTTGGATCTAACTTACATTGAAATATTTCCCGGAAATTGTCTCAATTTTGCTCACGCCCATGACCGGAAATAAAACGATGGGCAGCATAGCCGTAATAGCAACCGGAAATGTCTCTGTCACCCAGTAGAATGCCATCAATGCAAGACCGTAGGCACATTTTGACTTCTGGAAACATGCCAATTTAATAAGTTCAGTTCTTAAGTTACGTTTACTAAATACGGTTTACTTTTCCGTGATATTGTTATAGCTATCAATGACAAGTTAATTACTGTGGGTTTACTGCAATTATCATTTACAGCTAACTTACCTGTGTGTTTACTACAATTATCATTGACAGTTAACTTACCTGTGTGTTTACTACAATTATCATTGACAATTAACTTCCTTGTGAGTTTACTACAATTATCAATGACAGTTAACTTACCTGTGAGTTTACTACAATTATCAATGACAGTTAACTTACCTGTGAGTTTACTACAATTATCATTGACAGTTAACTTACCTGTGAGTTTACTACAATTATCATTGACAGTTAACTTACCTGTGTGTTTACTACAATTATCATTGACAGCTAACTTACCTGTGTGTTTACTACAATTATCATTGACAGCTAACTTACCTGTGTGTTTATTACAATTATCATTGACAGCTAACTTACCTGTGTGTTTACTACAATTATCATTGACAGTTAACTTACCTGTGTGTTTACTACAATTATCATTGACAGTTAACTTCCCTGTGTGTTTACTACAATTACAATTGACAGTTAACTTCCCTGTGTGTTTACTACAATTACCATTGACTGTTAACTTCCCTGTGTGTTTACTACAATTATCATTGACAGTTAACTTACCTGTGTGTTTACTACAATTATCATTGACAGTTAACTGACCTGTGTGTTTACTACAATTATCATTGACAGTTAACTTACCTGTGTGTTTACTACAATTATCATTGACAGTTAACTTACCTGTGTGTTTACTACAATTATCATTGACAGCTAACTTACCTGTGTGTTTACTACAATTATCATTGACAGTTAACTTACCTGTGTGTTTACTACAATTATCATTGACAGTTAACTTACCTGTGTGTTTACTACAATTATCATTGAAAGTTAACTTCCCTGTGTGTTTACTACAATTACAATTGACAGTTAACTTCCCTGTGTGTTTACTACAATTATCATTGACTTTTAACTTATCTGTAAGTTTACCTAGTTATCATTGACAGTTAACTTCCCTGTGAGATTACTACAATTATCATTGACAGTTAACTTCCCTGTGTGTTTACTACAATTATCATTGACAGCTAACTTATCATTGACAGTTAACTTACCTGTGTGTTTACTACAATTATCATTGACAGCTAACTTCCCTGTGTGTTTACTACAATTATCATTGACAGTTAACTTACCTGTGTGTTTACTACAAATATCATTGACAGTTAACTTCCCTGTGAGTTTACTACACTTATCATTGACAGTTAACTTCCCTGTGTGATTACTACAATTATCAATGATAGCTAACTTACTTTTGAGTTTACTACGAATATCATTGACAGCTAACTTACCTGTGAGTTTACTACAATTATCATTGACAGCTAACTTACCAGTGAGTTTACTACAATTATCATTGAAAGTTAACTTCCCTGTGAGTTTACTACAATTATCAATGACAGTTAACTTACCTGTGAGTTTACTACAATTATCATTGACAGCTAACTTACCAGTGAGTTTACTACAATTATCATTGAAAGTTAACTTCCCTGTGAGTTTACTACAATTATCAATGACAGTTAACTTACCTGTGAGTTTACTACAATTATCATTGACAGCTAACTTCCCTGTGTGTTTACTACAATTATCATTGACTGTTAACTTCCCTGTGTTTACTACAATTATCATTGACAACTAACTTCCCTGTGTGTTTACTACAATTATCATTGACAGTTAACTTCCCTGTGTGTTTACTACAAATATCATTGACAGCTAACTTCCCTTTGTGTTTACTACAATTACCATTGACTGTTACCTAACCTGTGTGTTTACTACAAATATCATTGACAGTTAATTTCCCTGTGAGTTTACTACAATTATCATTGGCAGTTAACTTCCCTGTGAGTTTACTACAATTATCATTGACAGTTTGCTTACCTGTGAGTATACTACAATTATCATTGACTGTTAACCTCCCTGTGTGTTTACTACAATTATCATTGACAGTTTGCTTACCTGTGAGTTTACTACAATTATCATTGTCAGTTAACTTACCTTTGTGTTTACTTCAATTACAATTGACAGTTAACTTCCCTGTGTGTTTACTACAAATATCATTGACAGTTTGCTTACCTGTGTGTTTACTACAATTACCATTGACAGTTAACTTCCCTGTGTGTTTACTACAAATATCATTGACAGTTAACTTTCCTGTGTGTTTACTACAATTATCATGGACAGTTAACTTCCCTGTGAGTTCAATACAATGATCATTGACAGCTAACTTCCCTGTGTGTTTACTACAATTATCATTGACTGTTAACTTCCCTGTGTTTACTACAATTATCATTAACAGCTAACTTCCCTGTGTGTTTACTACAATTATCATTGACAGTTAACTAACCAGTGATTTAACTACAATTATCATTGACAGTTAACTTACCTGTGAGTTTACTACAATTATCATTGACAGCTAACTTCCCTGTGAGTTTACTACAATTATCATTGACAGCTTACTTACCTGTGAGTTTACTACAATTATCAATGACAGTTAACTTACCTGTGAGTTTACCACAATTATCGGTAACAATTTGCTTGCCTGTGCGTTTATTGTAATTTTCAATGCTAGTTTACTATACATTACCTGAGACAGTCTACTTACCTGCTAGTTTACTATACATTACCTGAGACAGTCTACTTACCTGCTAGTTTACTATACATTACCTGAGACAGTCTACTTACCTGCTAGTTTATTATACATTACCTTAGACAGTCTACTTACCTGCTAGTTTATTATACATTACCTGAGACAGTCTACTTACCTGCTAGTTTATTATACATTACCTGAGACAGTCTACTTATCTGCTGGTTTACTATACATTACATGAGACAGCCTACTTACCTGCGAGTTTCCTAAGATGACCAGTGGTAAGAGCAATACTGGCGGAATAAGAAATAAACACAATGTTCTGTGCTTACGTAAAAATCCACAAAATGACATTATGTCTCGAAATTGAAACAAAAAAGTTATGAACTATTTATTGTTAAGGATCACACTGCATGTCCTACGTTCCTAACGATGCTGCTACCTTAACTGTATTAAAAGTTGTTATGTGCGGTCATGTAGCTTTAAGCAAATATATTCTGTGACATGAGTCAAAAAATCGTTTTACGTATATAATTTTCCGTATATGCATTAGTCTCAAAAATAGATTTCCATAAAATGACTTTGAATAAATTTGTCACGTGTCTTAAGATAAATCTTATTTTTTCAGTTTTCCAGAGCAGAGTCGGTATAAAGCAGTAAAGATTTTGCCGTGGAGAGACATTCGCTTTACCCATTTTAACATCTAAACCTGTTTAAGACACTCGTTAATTATGACTTAAAATTCCTGACATATTCTGTGTTATATTTTCACATAGATTAGCCTGTCACAGCATATGAAACGGATGTAGTTTGTAGACCTAATATCGCCACAAAGGGAACGACGAGCATGCCGTTTGTCTCACGGACAGAAATTATGTAAAACGATGTTTACTATGTCGCCGATGATCACATGTAATGAGAACAGATTGATAGAAGCTGATAACGTTGATGGTCAATGTTAATGGAAATAGATCAGTCCTTGATCACTATTGATTGGAGCTAATCGAATTGGTGATAACACATAATGAGATCAGATGTAGTTGGTGATCACACTTGAGGAGTGTAGATCTAGTTGGTGATCACACTTGAGGAGAGTAGATCTAGTTGGTGATCACACTTGAGGAGAGTAGATATAGTTGGTGATCACACTTGAGGAGAGAAGATATACTTGGTGGTCACACTAGAGGAGAGAAGATATACTTGGTGATCATGCTTGAGGAGAGTAGATCTAGTTGGTGATCACACTTGAGGAGAGTAGATCTAGTTGGTGATCACACTTGAGGAGAGTAGATCTAGTTGGTGATCACACTTGAGGAGTGTAGATCTAGTTGGTGGTTACACTTGAGGAGAGTAGATCTAGTTGGTGATCACACTTGAGGAGAGTAGATATAGTTGGTGATCACACTTGAGGAGAGAAGATATACTTGGTGGTCACACTAGAGGAGAGAAGATATACTTGGTGATCATGCTTGAGGAGAGTAGATCTAGTTGGTGATCACACTTGAGGAGAGTAGATATAGTTGGTGATCACACTTGAGGCGAGTAGATCTAGTTGGTGATCACACTTGAGGAGAGTAGATCTAGTTGGTGATCACACTTGAGGAGAGTAGATATATTTGGTGATCACACTTGAGGAGAGTAGATATATTTGGTGATCACACTAGAGGAGAGAAGATATACTTGGTGGTCACACTAGAGGAGAGAAGATATACTTGGTGATCATGCTTGAGGAGAGTAGATCTAGTTGGTGATCACACTTGAGGAGAGTAGATATAGTTGGTGATCACACTTGAGGAGAGTAGATATACTTGGTGGTCACACTAGAGGAGAGAAGATATACTTGGTGATCATGCTTGAGGAGAGTAGATCTAGTTGGTGATCACACTTGAGGAGAGTAGATCTAGTTGGTGATCACACTTGAGGAGAGTAGATCTAGTTGGTGATCACACTTGAGGAGTGTAGATCTAGTTGGTGGTTACACTTGAGGAGAGTAGATATATTTGGTGATCACACATGAGGAGAGTAGATCTAATTAGTGATCACACTAGAGGAGAGAAGATATACTTGGTGGTCACACTAGAGGAGAGAAGATATACTTGGTGATCATGCTTGAGGAGAGTAGATCTAGTTGGTGATCACACTTGAGGAGAGTAGATATAGTTGGTGATCACACTTGAGGAGAGTAGATATAGTTGGTGATCACACTTGAGGAGAGTAGATATAGTTGGTGATCACACTTGAGGAGAATAGACCTAGTTGGTGATCACACTTGAGGAGAGTAGATATAGTTGGTGATCACACTTGAGGAGAGTAGATATAGTTGGTGCTTAATGTATATAGGAACAAATTTATGATGAGAACAGATTGATTTGAAGATAACACATGCTTGTTAAAAGGTTGAGTTGGTGATCATATTTGACTTCATCAGATTGAGTTGATGGTCACATTTGACTTTATCTTATTGAGTTGGTGATCATATTTGACTTAGAACAGTGATCACACATGATTGGGAAAAATGGGCTGTGATCACAAATGATAGAATCAGATTGTGTTGATAATCACTGTTGAATGGAGCAGATTGAGTGGGCAATCATATTTTGATGGGAACAGATCGTTGTAAATTTGATAGAATTGTCTCTGTGATCACAAATGATGGGTCAGATATAAAGCTGATCACTGTCAATGGAAGCCGATTGAGCTGGTGCTCACTGTTGACGGAGGCGGATAGAATTGTGGACCAAACTTGATGAAAATTAATTGCTTTGATCACCATTGATGAGAGCAGAATAACTTGATGAAGTTGATGATCACGCTGGATTGGAACAGTTGGAAGTTTTTTTATACTATATAAAATATTACCTTTTTGAAGCAGTGGCCAGACTTGACGTGTGCAGACTGAGTCCTGTACATATGATCTCACTCTATATGAATGGATGGAGTTGATCTGACTTTTATATTGAATATGTTAACAATTTTATAGAAGGAATTGAGGCGTATACCTAAATGACATGTAATGCCCGTCTGATTGAGGTAACGATCAGTGATGGTAGAGGTTTTTTTAGTATTCCAGAGGAGTTAACGTCATCATCCTAATACGGTCATATCTCCTGAACTGTCACGTGATACCGATTTGGGGTTTTGACAACCGACTTAAAGATCATTTGTAACCCGCGCTTTGTATATTTCCAGCGATATTGCGGTATTGCTTCTATTTTTTTCTTCGGGAGATACTTCCTTCTCACAATAACAAATTAAAACAACAGTCACCTACAAAATATAGGTCATAAACAATTATGCGAACTGAATATTAATCACGATATATTTTACATGATTGAATTATGCATCGACATTCGGATGTTGCGACTTCGTAGAGCGCTACCTGTTCTCTTGCAGTTACACAGAGTTTTCTCCCTTTATAGGAAATCTTGTTGAGTCGTCGGTACAAAAAAACGAACTGTCAGTCTTGTCTGTCAGAAATTTGCTAATGTCTATGGATGTGATGAATGTTTCACAACTTCACATACAGGTAGAGGGTCCTCGCGGTGAACTTTAAATAACTACATACTACATGTGAAGATCGAAATGTCTGCCATATTTACAAATATATACGCGGACATTACTCCAGAGTTTCAAGAACTTTGCACACCGTCGTTTCCATTTCCCACCGTTATACAGAAGGTGTGTAACATGACGGGGGCTGTGTTTGTTCAAGGCCGTCAACCTAAACTAGCAGGAAACTGGCAGACGATGAAAACTGTTCACGATCTGCTCTCGGGACTGGTTCTATATTACAAAGTGTTGAATGAATTTGATGTTGGTATTGGATACTCTCCTGGGAAAATAGTCCAGCCACCTGAACAGCAAGAAGAGTTGAAAAGAACACGCATGCATCACAATACGTCAGTAAGTGCACATAGAGTAGAACTACGGTCACAGACTACACCTGATACATCATCCGACAACACTAACAGTACTAACATAACAACCGATAATGAGCTAAGCCGTTATGATCCTTCGAAAAAGAGACGTTTTCATGAAGATGATAATTCTGAAGAAGTACATTATAGAAACGTACAGGTGATCACACTGACAGAGGTAGAAAGTGATTCTGATGACAACAGGAATGTTTCTGATAGTGTTGGTGATATTGAGGAGGATGGTTTGCAACAAGGATCACAGAATGCCCCTAACAATGACTATGAAATTTCAGCTGCCGCAAGTGGAAATGCCAATGTTGCGGAAGACAATGATGTAGCAGGACTTAACAAGGATACAGTACAGGGAGATAATACAGAAGCACTTACATGTTCAGAATGTAGTTATACCACACAATGTGGTCGCAATCTGCTTCACCATAGGGTACGTGTGCATTTAAGGCCATGGAAGTGTAGGAGCTGTGACAAAGGATTTGGACTTCAGAAAGATTTACAGAGACATTACAAGTCATTGAGATCATGTAGAGTTTATAAGCGTCCCCAGAGGGACCCACCTGGTAGACCTAAACCTTCTGTACAACCATTCTATTCTGTAATTAACAAGGCCACTGAATCTGCTACTGTTACCGAGGGGGATAATCTCAACAGTCCAAAGACTACCACCAAATGTCTGGACAACTCTGATGTACAAGATCGGAATTCAATCTCATCAGAAAAACATGGAGAACAAAGCAAAGAAGAAAGTATGGAAAAACATGTAGAAGACAGTCAAGTTTCTGTCATCAAACTGGAACCTTTTGATTATGAAAGTTCTGGGGAGACATCTAAGGAGTCGTGTACCTGTGACAGAATGGCCAGTTATCAGGATTCATCCACAAATATTACGGACAGTAGTTATTCTGGGGCTACAAAGTTTATCAAGAGTGAGATATGTGATGCAGAGGAAGCTGATCAGTATGGAAATTCACCAGATGATGGTTGTGAAAAGAATAATATTCATCCTGGTGCAGTTCTTGATGAAGGACAAGTAGGTTCAAGCTCGAGAACAATAACAATCCACCCACATCAGATACTTCCCAGTAGTTGTGTATCTACTCCAGCATCTTTATCAATGCCACACTCAGCTGTAACTTCAGTAGACGGATTGCAAACAAACTTCACAAATCGAGGCATGTGTGCTGATCAAGATATCAATATGCATTGGCCAGGAGATGGCATTAGTATCCCTCAGTCCCTGTTGGCTTCTGTAAGTTTGGTACAGCCAATTGTTGGCTCAGAAACAGCAATGTTTTTATGTTCTTCGTGTGACTACAAAGCAGACACAACAAAGAAAGTTGATGATCATATCCATCGTGTGCATTTCAAGAGGTTTCAGTGTTCAAAATGTCCTGCTTTGTTTGGACTTCAGAAAGATTTAAC